AAAGTGGACATATTGGGTATGTGTCAACATGTGTGACCCCCTAAACTGGATTTTGGGCTTTCCTTGTGTCAACACCCGGTGGTTTGCCAGAATGCGCCATGGTGGCGGTTTCCCTTGCGGCCTCCGTTGCCAAACGGCCATGCTGTTTTAGCTGAAGCCTGATCATCCCCAGTGAAACAAGCAGGGCACTTCAACTGTTCAGCCACTCTACGCTTGCTGCCTAATTCCTAATGATTGGCAAGCGGATTTATCCGGGTTTTGCATCTAACCCCATCTTGAGTTGAACCCTTGACCAACCCCATCTAACCCCATCTAACCCCTGACCAACCCCATCTTATTGGGGTTTTGCATGCCGCTCAGCCAGCACCTTGCGGAGCCTTCGCCTCAAAGCGCCCTTCGCCGTAGGCGCCCCGCTGGCCATCTTCGCCAACCTTTGGCTGGAGGAGTCCATCGAGGTGCAGAGCGCCGCGCAGCGCCAAGGCGATCGGCCCGCGGCCGGGCGAGGGGCGGGCGTTCGGTGGGGGGGGGGCCTCCAGGGGAGAACATGTGCCCCACCCGTTTGTCCACATAACAATATGTGCCCCAAATGTTGCCCCGGAAAACAAAAAAAGAAGAAAAAGCACAAACAGACCCCCACTTTACATATTAAAAGACGCTGGGGGGACCTTAACATGAAGATTTGCCCCCTTCTGTTCCCCCCCAAGGGGGCTACGAAAAACAGAGAGAGAGAGAGAGAGAGCCCCCACTTTCAATTAGACCAGGTCCAGAGGTGTTCGGGAGAGGAAGCTTGGCTGTGAATTGAAAGAAGCCAAGAGATAGCTGGTCCAAGCTCGGGGATCTGCCGTTACGAAGGCAAGGGGCAAGCCCAAAGGGGTTAGGGACCACGAAATGGGATACGGCCAGATCCCGAATTCAGGCATGTTGGTGTCGCAAGCGATCAAGAACCGGCCCTACCATGGCAAGACTGTCACTGCGCCTTTGCGCCCCGGCAGATTTTATAGGCCTGAGCGTTGAATCAGGCGGTTAGGTGGTGGGATTGGTGGCTTGGGGGTTTGACGCCAGTTCCTTTTGGAACCAAGCCAGCCAAACCAATGCCCCAGTTAGAGGTAAGGTGAGTCAATGGCAAGCAGCGAGCTGATCGTGCCTGCAAGCAAAGAAAAGTGGAGTTGCACACCACGTTTCGTTTTCTGAGCAACTGAGGACATCGAACTGCAGGGACAGGCAACCGTTCCACTATATGGCCAAGACCTCAGCTTGATGGCCAACATGACAGGTGCTCCTCCACAAGAGAGAGTAGCAAGGTCCAGGTCAGGCATGGATTGCTCGAACGTTTACTTTCTCATGGGGTGAATAGCGGCATGCGTTCTTGAAGGCACGCCGGGGTATGGCCGCGAAAACCCCGTGGCCTCGCGTGCACCAAAATGGGCTGAATTCTACTTCCCAGAGCTCAAGTGGTGGTTGGGCTTTCGGCCTCAAGGCTGAGTGTGGCTCAGTGACAGTGTAATGGCAGTGAGTGTTGGTAAGGTTCAATAAGAGCTCGGGAAGAAATATGTGTTAGACGCAAGGAGCGGCTAGAGAGGGCATGTTGAAGGCTTTGTGGACGCATCCCGAGGGTTGTTGAGGCTTATTCAGTGCTTGGAGCGAGGCTGAATGTTCTCGAGGCTTGCTGGCTTGCTTATTTACGTATATATATTTATACATATATATATATATATATGTATAGAAATATGTATATTTTTACCCATGAGCGTGCTTCCCGAGGCTCATCGAATGCTTCGCGAGGCTTGAATTTGTTCTCAAGGTTTTGAGGCCGATTGAGGCTGACCAGTGCTAGAAATGCCGCTTCTCAGTGCTGCTCCAAACGGCCCGGCGATTGGCTTCATGAGGTCATTGCAGAACATCCTCCCGCCGATTCATTGAAAGGAATCTCCGTGCATGAGGAGGATTACACTGGCCCTTATCAGCCACTTGGTCAAGGAACGTCGGGAGAGAGAGAATGTTTATTTTTGCATGGGAATAATTGTGACTGACCCCAGTCTGGGTGAGATCCGTTTGTGGGGTAATTGTGTCTTGACAACTGCGGGAGTTCTCATGGCTTGCTCTTGCACAAGTCTGCATGCCAGCATAGTTGCTGGGGTGGCAATGCCGCAGTCACAGCTATATCCCCCCCACACCAGTTTGCAGCGCAGGGATTCTGGAAAGAGAAGAGCAGTTTGAAAGCTTCCGGCTGATTTGCAGGACCACATGGTCGTTGTTGGGGAAACATTTTCCCATTTTTGCTTATTGTGGTTTAGTGGTTGAAATCCAACCACTTAACTGCTAACATTTAACTTTTTGCTCCCCTTCCAACGTCAACCAAGCCCACCCAAAAGAGTGTTGGGTTTTTGACGCTTGATTAACGGCACACGGAAACCGGAGGAGTCAATGACTTGACGCCTTGGCTCCGAGGAACCAATGGACGATGTATCCACACCTTTACCCACAATACCCCCCTTGGGATGCTGCATCCGCTTACGGCTGCCTGCCTGCAATTGGGGGGGGGGGGGAAGCCCTGCAATTGGGGGGGGGGGGGGGGAGCCGCTTGATTTCCGTCCGGAGAGCAATTGGGTGGTGCAAGAAAAATGCCGGATTGGATTGTGCGAGCGCCTTGTGTGCTGCATTTGTCAGGGCTGTTTGCCATTCCAAGCTGTTTTAAGCAGGGAGTAGCAGTTCCAAGCGGCAGGTGGCAAGCGCCAGGAGCAATCCTGGGCAGCCATTGTCCCAAAAAAGTCACCAGGAAAACGACACATAGATCTCAAATTTCGCCAGGCGAAGTATTGCAAGTGATTCGTTTAGAGCGAAGTGATGGATGAAACGCATAATCAGGTTACCCCTACCTTGTTGGTGGTTTGGAGGTTTTTGTAGAGGGTAGATAGGAAACCCCTCCATAAACACCGAACTGGCAATCCAAACCACCAATTGGTCCCTGTTGGGCGGAGGCTGCGCAGAAACGGCCCACTTTCCCCATTCCCATACGAGTGCATTGGGCTTTGCATGCATTGCCGCGCCACCTGGCAGAAATCACCTTTTCCGTGCAGGCTTTTTGTTGGGGATCTCAAAGTTGATAGTGAATCAGTTGCAGTGCTTTTTGTTTGTATGTTCAACTGCCGCATTGGCCAAAGTGTCGCTTCGAACTGAGGTTATGCTCCTTCGCCGCACGGCGCCGCTAGCCACAATCGGTCAGTTTTTCAAGATGAACACTCGGGGTTGTGCAATAATTTGTGGCTACGAAGTGACCATGTTGTTTGTTCTCCTGTATGGAGCGAGAGTCACTTGTTTAGGTGGTTTTCAGGAATGGTCATCACATGAGGAGCTTCTTGATCAACCCCCACTTGGTCCCATTTCATGCGCTGAGGCTCACTGGAAAGCTGGCGCAGCCTGTTATCCGCCGCGGCTACGCTTGCATCTACGAAACCGTTTGAATGCATCATTTGTGGTGTGGAGTTGTTTCCCATCTTTCTCACACTCTTTTTTTGGTTTGAACCTACTGAAAGAAATTCCAAACGGTCCTTATATCTTAGCCTGTTTTATCCTGTTTTCTTTTTTTTAGCACAGCAACATGACACGGCTCCATATCAGGGGACACTTCTTGGTTTTCGTTTCGTTTGACAAATCGAAACGAGTACCAACATCCTCGCAAGTTGGTTCACTGAGGCCAGTGGTTCCTTATCCGGCTTACCCGCCTCCCAGCTACCAAGCTCCAGTTCTGAGTACGGCGTGCTATTGAAGGCACTGCGGCCGCATCGGCCAAGGACCCTGTTTCTTTCGGAGCGCAACCGGTGGCCTGATGTCCAGGTCGGATCCGTTTTCGGGCCCAAAAAGGTGGGAATAGAATTGCACAGGGGCATCTCAACTGTATGGGCGGTTGAAACGGCTGGATCTTTGAACTTCAACTTTATGCAACAAAGGCACGTGGATTGTCCGTTGGACCCGCGAAAAGTTAAACTTCCAAGTGCAAGAACGTCAATGACTTGTGGCCAGTGGGTCGTTTTGTTTTGGGCCGGGCTCCCTATCGGCCCTACATCCGGGTTTGGTACTGTGCTTCTGGGGATCCTGGCCGTTCCGCCTCAGACTTAGATGCCAGACATGGCCACTGGTGGATGCTGTCATCCGCTCGTCCGTCCCGCTGGGGCAAGCTTCAGGACCAGAGAGCTGATGGACCTCTAGAGTTTCATGGATCAACCCCCCTCCAGTTTTCAGGTAGGCTTCCATGTGCTGAGGAATATGTTGGTTTTAGTTTCCCTTGTTGGTTTTTTAACGGGACTTTGTCACTGCTTGAGATATTTGTATTTGTTCCGGGGGTCTACTTGAGGTAGGGGGGATTGCGGAGGAAACCCAGGGAAATGAGCGTTGGCTACACTCCCCAAATTACCAGGAAGTCCCTTTCAGATAGCAGATGGTTATGTATCTCCAACTCACGCAGTGGCTTCAGATATGTCACCTCTGGTTCTGAGCTAGCGGGGCGGCGTGGCTGTTGTCCAGCTGATCGACAATACTTGCAGCAAGTTGAAGTGATAAGATGCCTTGCGTGTCAAACGTGCTTATCGGTGCCGGAGTCTTGGCAGCCGAGTCGGGTGCCTACGTCCATAAGTTTTACTCTGTGTGCCTTGTTTAGCATCACCCGGATCTTTCCCTGGGCCGGAGCCCCGCCCCAGCGATGTCGCCCGCACCATTTTGATTCCGTGCTTGAGATGAAGGCACAGGCGCAGGTCAGTTGGACAATCTGGGGATCCTACGGACATCTTTCACTCATATTCAAGCAACTTGACATAACTTGACCCAACTGCCCAGCGGTGCCCGTTTTTTCCTTTTTTTGGGGGGGAAGCAAGTAACTTGACACTTGACCCAATTGCCCAGTGGTGCCCATTTTTTCTTTTTTTTGGGGGAAGGGTTCCCTTCAAACTCAACCAACTAGGAAAGGGACGTCCATTTCTCGCCTGGAAATCCACGGGGCATCTGAGGATTGGACCAAGCAACCAGAGGCCTACGGCCAGAGTTGCCGGGCTGCCGAGGTCTGGGGCCCTTGCGCGGGCGTTTTTTGTTTTGTTTTTTGCGCGTGGGGGAACCGAACCCAGCCGGAGATGGGTAGAACGTCCATACGTTTTGTCGCCACAACTTTTGTCATGCAAGTTGAGTTGCGGGTATCTTCGCATGTGAGAAAGAAAGAGTAGCAGATGGGCGCTTGCGTGAAGGCTACCAACTTGAAAGCCGGAGCAAAACCGCATTCCCAAACTTGGTGCAGCTTGTGGTACGCATTTTCGCAATCGCGCACTCGGTAAACGCATCGTGCTGTTCAACCGGCATCGTTGGATCAGACGATGCATCTTTCTGTTTCACGCTCATCGTTCTGTTTTCTTCCTCTCGGTTCCATAGCATCCTTCTTTTCCATTTTTGTCCCCCTCGAAGTCCGTTTTTTGGCTTTGAGAAAGCTCAAATTTCATTTTGTCCCCCTCGAAGTCCGTTTTTTTGGCTTGGGGAAAGCTCAAATGTCATTTTGTCCCCCTCGAAGTCCGTTTTTTGGCTTGGGGAAAACTGAAATTTGGGAACAGAATGGGGAACACGGGGCTCCGCAGCCCAAACTCCCCATTTGGTTTGATGCTATCGTCTTGTTTGCAAACATCGGTTCTGTTCGGTATGGACGAGGTTCAAATGTAGACGCCTCTCCGCTGTAGACGTCTTTGGTGGGGGCTTCTGGCGCTCTCCCAGATTGCTTGTTGGGTGGGGGTATGGAGTACGGGCTCGGTGTTCGGGAGGCTTTCGTGTCATGTTGCGTCCATTTAGGTTGGAGTAGTTGGAGCATAGCCGATCGGAATGGAGAAGGCGACCCTAAAATGGGAACTTCCGTGCGTCCTTGTGTAAATCCACCAGAAAGGGTCCCCAATGAATAAGACATGCCCATGCCCATAGAGCCAAACCCTTGGATCTTCTCTTTAGACAGAAACAAGATTCCAAATCTGGGACAGCCAGGCGGCAGTGTCCGGCAGGCGGGGCAGTTGGCAACGGCTTGGCGCGCGCGGGGCAAGGGGCTTCGAGAATATGGGTCTGCGTCGCGAAAAAGGCAACTCAGCGAGACATTTGCCAGAAGTCACGCCCCCCCAAATTGTCCACTGCAAGAGTTTCTGCCATCCAAATGAGTCAATTCAATGGCAAATGGATGGCGCGGGAGATAAAGTCCACGCCGCAAGACAGCGCTCCAGGAGCACTGAGCTTCCCTTCGGCGGCTTTGAAGCACGAAGGCGCCAAAAGCCGTGGGCTTTTGACAGGCGGTGAAGCGTCCAGTACGTGTTTCCTAGAGCCAATCCTTGCCCTCAGAAACCTGCCTGGATTTCCCGAAAGGTTGAGAAATTTGCAGGCGGTCTCCATTGAAAAGATCGGATTCCACTCTTGTAGGTTCCAAAAAGGGAATTTGCTCGGAAACCCTGTAAATGCTCGGAGTCCACTTCATGGCAGGATCCAGGACCGTGTCCCAACAAGCCAAATGCGAGCGCCAGCCCAACGAAAATTGACCGGAGAAGGGGTAAGAGAGGCCGGCCAACGCCTTGAGGCATCTGCTTTTCGTGGGCCCTTGCCTCAGCTGGGTCTCTCTGAGTGGTCCTAGTGTGGGTGGACGAAAATCCATTTCGCACCGCTTTCAACATCCATGGTTGAAACCATTGTTCATTGGTATTTGCAGGGGAATCATCATTTGAGGGTTTCTTAGGTGGTGCAGGATTTCGTCCATCCACTGTATGAGTGGTTCCGAATTGGTTTCCTTTCTGGGAGGAAAGACAAGCTGGATTTCCTCAATGGACCCGCCCCCATCCAGGAGATAAAACTTGATTTTAGCTCGGATGGAGCAAGGCCTGCCGCTGGCGCTGTACTGCAGCGACTGCCCGCACTTGTACCAGGTCTTGTCGGCTTCTCAGGTCGCCACCTTTTTCTTTTTTCCCGCGCCGGCCGCGGAAAAAAAAAAGAAGGGAGACGCATGCGTTCCTGGGATCGATCTGCAGATAAAACGCCTTGGAAAAATTTGTAGCAGCTGCGACCTTTGTCTTTTTGGTAGGCATGGAATGGATCTGCATCTTTGGCCCAGGCATTTGCGACCTTTCTTTTTGCCGCTTCGAGGCAACGCATGCGGAAGCTGGCGGAGGATGCGACCCACACGGCGCACACGCTGCAAAGCAAGCCGGGGACCCCAACGGAAGGGGCTTTGGGATCCTGGGACAACCCCTTTGGTTTGGCATCCTGTGGCCATGGATTTGGGTCTTACTTTGGGGTGTGGGTCCAAATTAAGCCAGGATATGGACCGCAGGTGGTTGTCCAAGTTTCCATGTATCAGGGCAACCCATTTTGGGTACATATGTTTTCAGCCACAGCCATACAAGCTACGAGGGTGCATTGAAAAACCGATCGTGCGCGCGCGAGGCTGGACCATGATGGCAGCAGAGGCCTCAGAATTGGCGACCAGTTTGAAGTCTTGGAAATTTCCTCCAAGCCGGGTCGACATGAAAACCTCATCTAAGCATCCACACAAGAATCAGGGGTTGAGCACAAACTATCCCCAAGTGCAGGGATGGATCAGGTGTAGTTGTTTGGGATTGACAACTCCGTTTGCTTCTCGAGAACCTTTAAATTTCCTAGGCCACTCTGGAAGGTTAAGTTGTAGTAGCTGGACACGTCACATATTTTTTGCATCCAACACGCCCCTTGATGCCCAAAGCAAGTTGTGTGTCTTCAGCTGAGCAACAATCAAAACCGATTCGGGTGGATGCAGGTTAGTAAGGGACGATCGCCATAACTGGCTGCGGATATCCGCCTTCTTAATTCTTGAAGCATGGTTCTGGGTCGACCATGTTTGCACCGGGCTTCCCAAAGCGAACTTTGTGTTTTCGTTTGAATGCCCCCAGACCTGGCAGAGTGAAGCCATGCCGCCCGAGGGCCCTACTCGGCCAGCTCCTGAGCAGACCATGCTGGTGGGGGTTCGCATGCAGTTTTTGTGTGTGTTTTTTTTTTTTTGGGGGGGGGGCGTGCATTGCGAACTGCGGTTTTACAAGCTCGTAGGCTTCGCCGAGGTAAATGTTACCAGGCCTCAGGGTTTACCAGCCTTGGCTTGGCTCATAGGGGTGGCTCCCGCTGCTCAGAGGAAGTATCATAATTTTGGACAGGGTTGCCCAAGGTAGCCTTCGGACCAGGCAGCTGTGTGTCATTTGTTGCAGGTGTTGGCATACGCCTTGATGGCGGCACTGCAGGCAAAGGGGCTGTGCTGCTGGCCGTTGTGCATGAGGGTGTTGGTTTCCGAGGTGTTATGTCCGAAATGAGCGAGAGAGAGAGAGAGAGAGACTTATCTCTACTAGTTCTGTTGGCCTGCTCAGCCTCATGTGTATGGAAAGCCTTTGCCGCCCTTGCTTGGTGGTCGTGGACTCCTGGACGTGTCTAATTCAGAATTGGACGGGGCTCTCCCAAGTGACAGCTGATGATTACCCTTTGGGGAGGATACCCACCCGATTGGTTCGCCATGGTGGGCTGGCTGCTTGTTCGGCTTGGCTTGGCGTGCCAGCTGACTGGCAGCCCGGTTGGTTGGCGCGTGTTCGAGAGTTGGCTGTTAGCGTACAGGCCTTGGACACCGTGCGAAGCAGCCCAGGCAGGGAGCCAAACAAAGAGGGATCTTGTGGTGGCTCCTTGGCCCAGAGTCCCCCAAGGTGTTCCCTTGACTTTTGCTTTGCTTTGCCTGGCTCTTTCTTTTTTCTTGCGCCGGGGGAGGGCGGATGGGTTTCTGGCTGAAAGTTGACACTCGCGCAGTGCCAGCCGAGGCACGGGTTTCTTTGATCTCGGGATGTTGCCCTTGGGACATGTCACCAGGTGTGTTGCTTGCTGCGTTTTGATACCTTCTGGTCATATGGGGCAGGTGGGCTCAGCACGCAGTCCCGGCATCAGCGTTTCCGAGTTCCGGGGCTTGACATGCCCCAGAAAATGCGGTCATGTCAAATTGGGTTGGTGTCCAAAATTGAGTGGCGGAGCACTTCTTTCTGAAAGTAACGGACCCACACGCAAAACACTTCTTTCTGAGTTTCCGAAAGTAACGGACTCACATGTAAAATGCACAAGTGGGCCCTGCCAAGTGTCCGCCTTGCTCCCAGTCAGGTCTTGAACCGCTGGCGCCCAAAGGCACGGTGTTGGCCTCAGGTACCCACAGCACTGCACTAGACTGCTTGAGACTGGCGTTCGGGAGTTAATATCTGCAAACAGAAGAGTTGTCACATGTTGTCACTGGAAGGAGGCACGTCGAGAACCATGGAAGTAGAGGGAGGGTCAAGGTCTAATCCGAGATTGGTCTACTTAAGTTAATATATGCCAGTTTGTTGCTGCCAGCCCTTCCCCAAAGATCAGGTTCATCATGCGTCCATGCCCGGAAAGCCGAGGCGCTGATCTTCCGTGGCTTATGGGTGCCGGAGGTGACGGGCTCGATGGGAGTTGTCCAAAAATTATCCTCACCCAAGCGTGGGGTACGCATTCCAATTTGTTTGGGTACCAATCGGTACCCTGAAGACCCAGAATGCCATTTTGGGTACCAATTGACAACCCTTGGAGGGCGGCCTCTCTTGGGCGGCCCCTGGAGTTTGATGCCCGGGAGGCTTCCCTTCCCAGGCAGTGGATGAGCACTGGGGCGAGCATAGCTGGTCCTTCAACTCGTTCTCTCGAAGCACGAGCCCCAGTCAGAAATCGAAGCGTTGCACGTTCCCCGTGCAGCTTTTTTGATTTGTTTTGCGCACGCCCCAGACTAACATAGAAACACTCCCAGAAGGCCACTGTTAACCCGGGTTACCAAGTCGTCGCCATTTCAGGGTGGGCGCTTCCATGGAATCGCCTCACAAGGGGACCAGCAGGTGTGCGGTCCTGTGTCTTCGCCGCTCGGCACGGGCACAAGCCGGCGAGGTATTGACGGGGTGCTCTCTGTGTCACGGCCTCAAAGCCAAGGGAGCCAGAGGCTAGAATTGTTTTTTCGGGTTTCCGTGGTTTTTTAGTGTTCACATGTGTTTCTTGTTTGTTTGTTGTGTTTTTTGGCGGCCCCGTTGTGTTTTTCCTTTTTGCCGCTTGCTGTTTGCCTCTGTTGGGTTGCAAAACCTCGAACAACCCCTGGTTGGTACGTTAGATTTGCACCCCAGCTCCTTTTGAAGGGAGGCTACCCGGTAAGGTCCAAACCACCAAACCAAACCACCAAGTACCTGGACCTTCATTCGTTACATAAATTTGTGTCCCTTGGGTGTTTCGTAGCAGAAATTTGCTAGTCGGGCGTTTTTCGGGGGAACGGGCACAATTTTGGATTCGAGCATTTTTGGCTACTGCGGCGGCTTCTCTCATCTCATATAGCCTGTTGCGTGGACACATGTGAAACATACCCGCAAAACGGGCGCAAATACCCGCAAAACGAGCGCAAATACCCGCAAAACGAGCGCAAATCCAAAACATGTAGCACTTGGTATTTTGCAAGAAGCCCGTGTTCATGAAACGAGCGCTTTTTGGGGAACGAGCACTTTTTGGATCATTGGGCGAAAATAAATGCCCCGAGCACTTTTCTTTCGTGACACAAATTTATGTAACAATGGAAGGTCCAGGTAGGGATAAGGTGGGGGTAAGGCATAAAGGCGAGTTGGTTCCTATAATGACGACTCGTTTTCCAATGCTGTTTGGCAAGGGTTGCGCAACCTGTCAGGCTTGGATTCTATGCGAGCGCAGCTGGAAGCAAGGCGCAGGACGGGGTAATTCTCACGGTATCATTGCCATGGACCACTTTCGGAGGCGCAACATGTTAAGAATATGGAGGCCAGATCATTTTTGCAACCAATCAGGTTGTCTCTAATTATGACCCACATTTCTTGTGACCAACTGAATCCTTCCTGCGGGCTCAAGGCAAATTTGGCCCTTCAAGCTTTCAATTTCAGCATCCACCTAGCAAACGGTGCCATTGCTTCTCTTGCCTCTCGGTTCGGTTGCTTCCAGGAAGTGGCTGCCAAGGAGCGCGGGGGACGGGGGGCTGGATTTGTCAAAAATGTCGCCACAGCCATTCCGCAGTTGGCTTGGCTTTGCATGGCGGCTGCTACATTCCCCATTCCACGCTGGCTTGGCAGGTGTCGGGCTTTTCTAAAGTGAGCTTTGGGATGATGTTAGAGGCGACGGAAGCCTATGCTCTGCTTCAGACTTGAGCACTGGCTTGCACCAGCGGTGAACAGGATGCGCACATTCTGATCCTGGCTGCCGCCTTGGGCAGCGTGAAGCTTGTTCTCAGCAGGGAATGAGCTGGAATGACCCCGAGAAAAACCATCCCCCATTCTAGTGCTACCATTTCCATTCTTTCCAGGGATCCTTCTTTCTAGAAAACCTCCGGAAACCCAGGGAAACGGAACCGTTTTTTGAGAAGAACGATGGTTGAAAGAATGGGGAATCAACCCTTAGACCTATGGTTTCCCTTGTGGGAATCCCCAGGTTCATTCACAGCACGCGGAACTGTCATCCCCTACTGCACCAGCAAGTTTTATCATGGGCGTTGCAGCCGTTGACAAACCAACCTTGCAAACGTCCAGTGCTGCTGTCTGAGCATCAGGTCCATTGAGGGTTCTGGTAGTTTGCTTTCTGTTCATGCTTGAGTGTGGGCCGCAAAAACATGTAGAGACACAGACGCAGACACACACGCGCACAGACGGAGCAACGCATAGACACGGAGACACACTTTGTGACACCCGGAGACACAGATGCACAGACAGACGCTCATGCCCACACGCGCGCACGCATTGCATAATCGCCTTTGGATGGTTTTTTCAGGGAGGCCTAAAGGAAGCCACCCACCTGGAGGGTTCGGGTCCCCATGCTCTTTTTTCTATGTCGAAACACCCATGTTGAACCTGGAGGTCCCCAGGTGTTTTTTTTGGTTTTTTTACTTTTTTTTTCTCGAAACACCCATGTTGCCTGCTTTCCAGACTGGGAGAGGCACCGGCTCGCGCGCATCGAGGTGGCGCGGCTGAGTAGCCGCTGGGCCTTCCCCGTGCAGTTCTTTGCTGGCGGCGAGTCGGGCCCCTGGCGCGCCTCTGGGGTGTCCAAAAAGCTGCCTCGTTCCGTTTGAAGTGGACACCAAAGGCTCGGCTGTTCAAAGGTAATCCTTAATTTCCTTACTGTCAGTTACGCAAGGAACCGGTCCCTTTTGTAGTGGTTTCCCGAAATAAGGATGATGGAAAATCGGATTGGCCAACCCTCCATTTTGAACTGCCCAGAAAAGGGCCCCGTTTAGTTGGTTTGGATTGGTGGCTTGGATTTGGAGTTGAGCCCTTGGCAAATGGGACAAGATTTGGATTTGGATTTGGTAAATGGGACAACCACCCCCCAACAAAAACACGAATCCAAACCTGCGAGTAGTGCGAAGCTGCGCGTTGGACAGGTTCTCTGACAAGCAAGAGAGCAGGTGGGCCAAACAGCAGCAGACCTCGAGTCTTTCTGGCATCTCGTGAATTCTCTGAAATTGTCCAAAGTGCTGTCAAGGCAAACAGGGACCAGCAACAAAGGACAAGCTTCGCATTTTCAGAGCGTGGAAAGTCGGAATGCTGCAGTGGCATTGTGTCACCTGAGCGATGTTCACCCAAGCCTTTCTTTCATCATCACGGGGATTGCAAAGCTCCAGGAATGCCTTCCCGGCCAGCATTGAGCAGGAGGACAGGTGAAGCGAGAGACAGTTCTTTTCTAGATGCAGGGTGCTTGGAGAAAGGCAAATTGATTCTTCGTTCCAAACTTACATGTCTATGGGTTTCTCTGCAAAGTCCTTCCCCCGCCTGGTCAAACAATTCGTGCCATAGAACAGCTTAGGGCCAAAAACCCCGCAAAAACAAAGGAAGAAGGGAAGACAGGCTGAGAGGCGCGGTTTTTGGCTGGGTTCTTTTTTTTTCGGCACCCCCAAATTGGGGTTCCTGTAAGACCCGCCTCCCCCGCGCGCATGGCACGGCACGGCACGCGGCCGCATGTGGCCGGCGCTTCCGCTCTCCAGGTCCTGGTGCCGCCCTTCTGCAAGTACCACTTGGAGCCGGGCACGGAGGCCTTACGGGGGGTGGGTGGAAAGCGGAAAGCCTTGGGTGGTCTGGTGGGGGTGGGTGGTCTGGTGGGTGGGTGGTGGGTGGGGTGGTGGGTGGTCTGGGGGGTGGGTGGTGCTGGATGGGGGGATGGATGGTCTGGTGGGTGGTGGGTGGGTGAAGAGGGAGAGAGAGAGAAGAGAGAGAAAGGGAGTGAGATCCGAGGATCCGAGGCAGGCAAATCGTCAAGCTCATTTTTTACCTCCGCCTCCTGAGTAATATATGATATGTATATATATATATGTAGAATATACATAAAGAGGTACCTTTATAGAAGGGGTGAAACCCTGGCAAAGGACGTTTCCCCCCACGTGCTCCCTTTGTGGGGGCACAAGGGACATATAATGTGTCTTTGGGGGCCCCCAATGTCCGGCTTTCGTGGTTCAAAACCACGGAAGAGGATGGATGACGCTTTGGCATGCTGGCAACACATGAGGAAATAGGTAAGTCAGTGCGTGGACATGCACCGGGCCTCCCTTTGGTTGATTTCAGGCAGACTAAAGCCCAGGGATGGCTGACTTCCTCAGACAAAAATAAAAATAAAAAAACCCAAAAAAAAAACGGAAAAAAAAGTCCGATCCCAGGAGTCACAGCTTGGTGCTTCCCGGCCATCCCCTGGGCTTTTTTTTAGCTTTCTAGTGTTTGGTTGGACATCCCCATTGCACCCACGAAAGTTAGTCACTTTTAGCGGGGGAGACTGGGGACAGTGCTGAATCCAAGTCGTTTGAGTTGCCCAGTGGTGCCCTCTTTTCCTTTTTTTGGGGAAGGGTTCCCTTTAAACTCAACCAACCAAAAACAAGGAAACAAGCGTGTCCGTTGTTTCCCCTGGCCACTGGGCATCTGAATTGCAGTTGCTGCTTTCGCCTTCCTGGCAGCAAGTTTTTCGCCAGGTCAGCAGCTTGAAGGATGAGCAAAGGCGCGCGCATCGATCATCTCGTGAAGCGGGGGAGTGGGGGGGCTCCCCTGAAAAGGTCGGCCCAAAGATCCGCGCGGCGAGCTCCCAATGAGAGTCAAGTGAGAGTTATTACACGTTCCACAGGAGGAAAAAGGAAGAGAAGAAAAACACATGTCATTCTGCCTCGTTTTTTTTTGATACTTTTTTGCTTAGCTGCACATTGTTGAAATTGAAAGATGGTTGAACAGAACGGGGGATCACCCCCTAGAAATGCATATTCATCATGAACTTGTGCTTCTGGATTTCCAGGAGGAATGTTCGCAACGTTTTCAGCTGATGTTCGCCGGCTTTCGTGTATTTTGGGTTCTTCAACGCCACCCGCGCCGAACAATCCGCGGAGGATCCAGACGCTGGAACAGCGCTGGGGCATGTCGCTGGCAAAGGAGGGGGTTCTTTGCACGCGCATGCACCCGTGCAATCTCAGGCAGCCCCGACTTGAATTTTTGGGCATTGCGGCCGATTTCAAGAACAAGAGAAAAGTGGATTGGCTTGGTGGTTTGGGGGGTTGAGGCCCCAAGACTAAGTGGATTGGTGGTCGGTTCTTGAGGGAAAATGGGAGGCTACCCCCCGAAACGCCTCCAAACCACTGGGCTCCAGCGGAGGGTTTCGTGGCTTCCCTTGGAGACAAGGGTCGAAAAGGGTACCCTCACAAAAAAAAAGAAAAGCAGCCCTGGTCGGCCCTTCGCCGGCTGGCTGGTTCGCAGAGCATTTGCATCGCGAAGTGACCTAGGCCGACCGCTGCGAAAACACGAATCAAACCTGCAACTTGTTGCAAGACTTGGCTATTCCTAAATGGACTTCACGCAGCTGACCGTTGAGCAGCCTTCCAACCCTGCCATCTCAAACCCTAGACTCCATGGCGGAATCCTGGCAGCAAGTGAAAGCTGACGGCCCAGTGCCGCAGGGCAGCCACGTGGGGGTTTGGCCCTTGGACGAGCACAACGCCAAGCTCCTGGATGCGGTTCATCCACGTAGCTGGCCCGCTCCTGACCGCCCAGCAGCTTGAACCAACGGACAGTCCAATGGACACTGTCGTGGGCGTTGGGTTGATCCATATTCCATTTAGGGCCCCCAAATGACCATGATATCATCCTTTTAGTGATTTTCCAATGGTCATCCCATGTAAAGAACCTTTTGATCAACCTCCACTTCCTTTTTGAAGGCCGGAGGAGTTGCCTTGCATTGCCACTAAAACCATGCAGACTCCCGCCCTGTCCGAGCTGTTACCCGGACGCATGCTTTGCCGTTGGTTTAGACGGTGCTTTCGGTCTTCTCAATTCAGGAAGGGAAGCCTTAAGGAGCTCGCGCCCGGAAGAGCAAGGAGCCGGAATCCATTGCAGTTTGGGATATGAGACCCCCCGAGAAAGATCAAGAAAAAAGGGTATGTTATGATGTTGGCCCCTATTAATCAACCCCAGTTGATTATATAATAGGGGGGGTTCCCCTCCAAAAAGTGATGATTCCCCACTAAACCCCACCCCCCTTACATAAACAGGGGTTGATTAATAGGGGCTCAACATTATGTTTTCATGTATGTTCCTTAACGACATGGCGCTGCACATCCGTCTGAGGAGGGCTTTGTGTATGACCTGGTGGCGGTGGGGGCGGGGGCCGGGGGTCTGGTGAGCGCCAAGCAAAGCGCGCGCCGGGGCTGCAAGAGCGCGCTCATCGAGCAGCACCTGGCGGGGGGAGACTGCAACTCGGCTTTTGCAAAGCCAGACTCGCGCGCAACGAAGTGTGGTGCGTTGTTTTTTGGTTGTTAGGCAGGGATCAGGCCGCAAAAGCAGCAACAGCATGCAACTGCTATTGTATGTGTGTCACACTTGGGTGTTTGGGCAAGTCTTAAGATTTTTTTTTCAGAAGATGTTTCCCCTTGTTGGTTTTAAAGGGAGTCGATTTTACTGCCGGAAATATGTTTATTTCTTCAGGACGCCTTTTTTAAGGTTGGCGCCCCCCCCCCCCCCCCCCCCCCCGGGAACTATGGTCTCAGATTTCCTTTTGGTTTCGCTTCAAAACCACCAAGCAACCGGTGCAGGACGTAAGGAGTTTTCTTTGTGGTGGTTTCTCATTGCTGCGAAAAGAAGACGTTGGACAACCCTCCTGTCGGGCAGGTTGAGCGCACTAAATACCAGCTGTTGTATTTACTACTAAGCAGAAAGCCCCACATCCTCAATTCATAGCTATGCTGGGTCATTCTCAAGTGCATTTAATCCTTTTTGGGTTCCCCCCTTACTTGGTGGTCATTATCTTTTGTCTTTTGGTTGGTTATAATTAGGTCAAGGTGAGCAACTTCCCCCTCCCCGCTCAGTTTTATTCTTGTTGCCCCTTTGGGCTTCATTCAAAATAGTGGAGCACCCCACACTTGAGGGACTTAAGGAGTTTTTTTGGGGGGGGGTAAGGGACTTACCACGCTTTGTTTTGTGTACGGGACTTCAGGAGGAGCCCTTTCTGTTGGGGGTTTCCCTACCACGTTGCCCTTACCTGAGGCCTTAATGTCGGCTGCGTGCCCTCCAAGGCGGACCGTGCCGCAAACCAACAGTTGGTGACTTTATTGCAGTGTTTGTGGAATCGAGGGGTTTATTCCCACTGTGATACAAGGCAATCTCCCCCTGTATATGGGGTCTTAGTCTTTGGGAAGCCCTTTTGGTTGTATCACAGAAGTGGTCATTTCCCACAACCCTGCTTTATTGCCAACGACCATGGAAGTGTTCGGGGTTCTCAAGGACAGCTTTCGGCTTCCAGAGCCCTCCGAAACAAACCGTTCAACCCTTTGCTTGTGAATACGCACCAATAGTAAACTGATACGCTCCACATTTGGCATAGCCATCATGCAAAGGCTTGCCTTCGCACCCCTGCAACCCTAAGCCTCGTTGCAACCTCTCGAAATGCGTGGCGGACCCATCCCAAGCCAAGCCATGGAAAAAGAACATCGTTGCCCCTATACCACCTGAGTGAATTGGCCCAAGATGGAAGCCCTGGCATTCAGCCCCTAATGCAGCCTGCAAAGTATTGCGCAAGCCAAGGCTCAGTGTTTTTGGTCGTGTTCTGTGACTGGCAGTAGCACCAACAGCCACCAACAACAAAATAGAAGCGCAACCCATACAACAACTCTTCAATAAAGCCAGCTTCAAACACACTCAAGCAGCAACCAACCGCCCACAAGACCCAGCGACCCACAAGCAAACCTGGCAACCAAACCCACAAGCAAAACCGCCAACCATGAAAAGCACATTCACGCCGCCACCAGACCCGGCGACCCACAACCGCCAACCCGCCCACGCCGCAGCGCGGCTAGGCGCTGCTTCGCTGCGCACGCGCGGTGGCGGAGCTGCGGAGGATGGACTTGGGCCTCACGGCCACGGCGAAGGTCGACTTTGGACAGGCGCAGGGTGGGGCTTTTTGCGGGTTTTTGCGGGTGTGCCTGGGCTGGCGCACATGAGGGGCGGTTTGCCTGAGCTGGGGAAAAAGTGGCTTTAGTTTTTGTGGCTTTTAAGAAGTGGCTTTTCGCAACAGGCACCTTTTCACTTAAAAGCAGGGAACTTGCCTGCTTTTCACCCCTGGTTTTTGCTGCACATGAGGGGTGCTCAGTGCTCAGGATTCTTTGCCTGGGCTGAGAAAGAAGCGGCTTTTCGCAACAGGCACCTTTTCACTTAAACGCAGGGAACTTGCCTGCTTTTCACCCCTGGTTTTTGCGGAGATAGGCATCAAAAACAACTTATTAGGGAACAAAAAAACTTATTAGGGATCAAAAGAAAACTTATTAGGGATCAAACAAAACTTATTTTCACTCCTATGAGGACACGGGAACAAGGAAGGAAGGAGGGAAGGAACCCCCCCCCAACCACGCCGCTGATTTGTAGAAGGTTTACAGTTATTAACGCACCCTTTGCTGAATCATCACTTCTTCGATCATCATCACCCTTTGTTGAATCATCACTTCTGCGAACATGATGACGGGGGCTGCCGCCCCCCCCAACCCTCTGCTTACAGAGCTTAACGCGCCCCTTGTTGAATCATCACTTCTTCGAACATGATGACTGGGGCTGCCGCCCCCTTTGCTGAATCATCACTTCCTCGATCATCACTCTTTTTCTTTCTTTCTTTCTTTCTTTCTTTCTTTCTTTCTTTCTCACTCTCTCTCTCTCTCTCTCTCTCTTTTCTCCCTTTTTCTTCATGTTTATATCTCTGTCTTTTTCTTCACTGCTTGCGAAAATGCTGCGCCTGCGTCAAGCTCTGCGCCGCGGGTTGGCAAATTTTACATGTTTCTTTCTTAGGCTTGGGAGAAAATTGAAGCTCACTTTTATTGCGGGACAGCATGTTTGTTTTTGCCGGCTTATAGCGATTTTCCCGGCAATTGTGCAACGCAGTTTCTGGTGCGTGTTGTTGGTACAAGCAGCAATGAATCGCATTTTCAAGACCCACTCCCTTGAACAGATAGACAAGTGAGATGCGCATCTCAGAGTATTGCTTTTGGCCTTGTTTGAGGGTTGTTCCTTGCAGGGCATGCGTGCCATTGTGATAAGTCGGTGTATGGCAGCAAAGCTGTGAGCGCGATAGAAAAATCGGCTTCTTGCGGCGGCGGCCAAAGCGAGCTTTGATTATTCCCGAAAGCATGGCGAAGGGTTCTTCCGCTGGGTTCACTTGAATTGTTCTCATGAGAGTCATTACAAGGTGTCATGCAAGGAATCATCATCATGAAAGTCAATGCAAGAAGGAGTCATTGCAAGGAGTCATTGCAAGGAGCCATTGCAAGGAGTCATTGCAAGGAGTCATTGCAAGGAGTCATTGCAAGGAGTCATTGCAAGGAGTCATGGCAAGGATTGCAACTTGCACTTGACTCCTTGCACTTGCAACTTGCACTTGACTCCTTGCACTTGCAACTTGACTCCATGCACTTGCAACTTGCACTTGACTCCATGCACTTGGCTCCTTGCACTTGGCTCCTTGCACTTGCAACTTGCACTTAACTCCGTGCACTTGCGACTTGCACTTGACTCCATGCACTTGGCTCCTTGCAACTTGCAATGGCTCTCATGACTCCTTGCAATGACTCCTTGCAATGACTCCTTGCAATGACTCCTTGCCTTGACTCCTGCGCCATGACTCCTTGCAATGACTCTTGCAATGACTCCTTGCAATGACTCCTTGAACAAGGAGTCAAGTGCAAGTTGCAAGTGCAAGGAGTCAAGTGACTTGCGAGGAGTTAAAATCTCTTCTTAGGGCGGCGGGGTAGTGCCGACGACACTACACGAAAATCGACCCTCTGCGGGGATCGGCGTGGTCGAGGTGCAAAAACCCATGGTTTTTTGCGATTTCTAACCTGCTCGCGCGACCCTCTGCGGGGATCGGCGTGGTCGAGGTGCAAAAACCCATGGTTTTTTGCGATTTCTAACCTGCTCGCGCGACCCTCTGCGGGGATCGGCGTGGTCGAGGTGCAAAAACCCATGGTTTTTTGCGATTTCTGCGGTGCTCGCGCGACCCTCTGCGGGGATCGGCGTGGTCGAGGTGCAAAAACCCATGGTTTTTTGCGATTTCTAACCTGCTCGCGCGACCCTCTGCGGGGATCGGCGTGGTCGAGGTGCAAAAACCCATGGTTTTTTTTGCGATTTCTGCGGTGCTCGCGCAACCCTCTGCGGGAATCGGCGTGGTCGAGGTGCAAAAACTCAAGGTTTTTTGCGACTTTTGTTGTTCGAACTGGTCCTCGGGAGTTGTCTCGTGGTTCGCGCGCCTGCTCCCGGAACCGGCGGGTCGCGGGTTCGATTCCTCCCTGGTCCGCGGGCGGGCGTCGCAAGATGCAACTTGCATTTTACAGCAACTTGCGCAGAGCAACTTGCGCAGAGCAAGTTGCACAGAGCAACTTGCGCAGACCAACTTGCACCGACCAGTTTGCGCAGAGCGCCTTGCCTAGAGCAACTTGCGCAGAGCAACTTACGCAGAGCAACTTGCACAGAGCAACTTGCACAGAGCAGCTTGCACAGAGCAACTTGCAGGGAGCGCAATTTGCACAGAGCAACTTGCAGGGAGCCACTTGCAGGGACCAACTTGCCGGAGCAACTTGCGCGGAGCAACTTGCGCAGAGCAACTTGCACAGTGCAACTTGCGTAGAGCAACTTGCGCAGACCAACTTGCACCGACCAGTTTGCGCAGAGCACCTTGCCTGGTGCTGTCTCGCGCTTGCTTCACGAAGTGTAGGGAAAAAGAACGCATCCTGCAGCGTTGGGCCGACCTCGCTTGCGATGTTCTGCTTTCGGGCCAACCGTGGTCTAGTTTTTATAGGCCGGCATGGCCTCCAAAATCGGCTATCCCGCTGCACCGTACCCTGCGAAAGTGCGGCACCTGCCGCGAAATTGGTGACCTTGCGAAAGTGCTGCGCCTGCTGCGAAATCTGCACCAGACCTTGCGAAAGTATTGCGACTGCCACGAAATCTGTACCTGACCTTGCGAAAGTGCTGCGCCTGCCGCGAAATCTGTGCCGCACCTTGCGAAAGTGCTGCGCCTGCCGCGATGCGAAAGTGCTGCACCTGCCACGAACTCTGTACCTGACCTTGCGAAAGTATTGTGCCTGCCACGAAGTCTGTATCTGACCTTGCGAAAGTGCTGCGCCTGCCACGAAATATGTACCTTGCATTGCCAAAGTGCTGCGCCTGCCACGAAATCTACACCTGACGTGCGAAAGCATTGCGCCTACCACGAAATGCGCAGCGTACCTTGCAAAAGTGCTGCGCCTGCCACGAAACCTGTACCTGACCTTGCGAAAGTGCTGCGCCTGCCACGAAATGAATAAGTTTTTTGATCCCTGAAGAGTTTTATTTGATCCTCTGATTTTGCATTTTTAATAGTAAATCAATGAGAATAAGTTTTTTCTTGATCCCTAATAAGTTTTTTGATCTTCAGAAACATGTTTTTTGATGCCTAATAAGTTTGTTTTTGATCCCTCGCCCTTTTTGAGGGTGTTTCTGGGCTACTGTACATGAGGGGTGCTCAGTGCTCAGGGTTGCATTGGGTGATTCTTTGCCTGGGCCAGGAAAAAACGGTTTTTCGCAACAGGCACCTTTTCACTTAAAAGTAGGGAACTTGCCTGCTTTTAACAGTATGGACCTGAGTCATCCCGCGTCCCACCCCTGGTTTTTGTGGGTGTTTCTGGGCTAGTGCAGATGGGGGGTGCTCAGTGCTCAGGGTTACATCGGGTGATTTCCCTTTACCATTTTGGTCGTCTTGAGCATGTCACTTTGATCTCATGCCCTGGTTGTGTCTGTGCCGAAGAAGAAGAAATTGCCATGGGGAGACCTTGGTCGGGCAAGGAACTGAGTAATTTGCATGTCAGGGGTTGAAAAAGCAAGGGGTAGGAGAGAGTGACATGCCTGGGCCGAGTTGCGGTGGAAGAGCTTGGAGTAGCAGAGCACCACCGTTTGCACATGTTGAGAACCATGTCCCATGCGAAAGATGTTGAACAGAGATTGGTCGTAGCATGTCGTTGTGTTTTTCCATTTGCTTAAGAGCATGTTTGCATTTTCCTTGTCGGTTTTAAGAGGAATCTATCTACTACTGGACATACTGTGGATGGACGAAATCCTGCACCACCTAAGAAACCCTGAAGTGATGATTCCCCCTGCAAATACCAATGAACAATGGTTTCAACCATGGTTTTGAACGTGGTGCGAAATGGATTTTCGTCCACCCACAGTACTGTTGACCCCGGATTAATAAACCCGTCCCACTATTAAGGGGTGAAAACCCCTCCAAAAGTGGTCTGAATCCAACCACTAAAAGGAATTGGACACCCCCCGATCAAAATCAACCAGGGGTTCTGCTTAGATCCGTTCCCTCCAAAAGTGGTCTGAATCCCCACTAAAAGGGGACACCCCCCAATCAAAATCAACCAGGGGTTCTACTTAGATCCGGGGTTAACATTACTGTTATGTTTTCCATGCAAACTTGAGCAACTGGAAGGCTTTTGCAGCTTTTGCCAGGTCATGGCCCGCATGAGACGGCTGCGCGCCGAGATCGCCCCGGTGGATTCCCACGAGAACCTCGGGGGAGTAATTAAAACAGTCGGGAGGGGGGTTGGTTGCACAGAGGTAAAAAAACATGACGCCCCTTTTCGGAAGGTTGAAGGTCGTTGGGCCTTTTTCTTCGCTTTGGAAGAAAAATCGGCGGCCAGCAAAAGACAAGGCCAGAGCTTGAGCCAGCTCGATTTCTGGAAACGTTTCTTTGTCCTGGGACTCCTCATGCTCGTTGTTTGGAAACATTTTGCTTATTTTGCTTATTGTGGTTTAGTGGTTGAAATCCAACCACTTAACTGCTAAAATTTAAATGTTTGCCCCCCCTTCCAACGTCAACCAAGATTTGTCCAGGGACTCCTTGTCTTTTTGGTGCTATCCTTTTGGGGTCTGAAAATTCGACAGAAACCGCTGGTTTCCAGGTGCAGGAATGCCCATCGGTGTGAGGAAACCCGAAAGAAGGGTCTCTCCAATTTCCAGGCGAACCATTCAAACAAAGTATCGCGCCCAAGATTATATAGGTTTAGTGTTCGAGGACCTTTCCAGGTGAGCCATTGGCAGAAAAATCAGACGCGGCAAAGCTTAGAGTTTTGGTTTGTACAGAGCCCTGTCGAAACACCCCCGTCGGTCTGTCCCAAAATAGGGGGACCCCCAATATGGTTGGTTGCCTTTTGGTTCCCGTTTGAAACCAACCAAAAAGGGTTTCCCCTAACAAATAAGTCAAGCCCTGGCACTTGGGGTTGGAGATTTGTTTTCCAGGTGAGCCATTTACAGGAAAAAAACAACGACCCCTGGCCAAAAAAACAAGCTCCGAGTTCTTTTTTCTTTTTCTCTGAGGACCTCCAAGCAGGCGGGGGTGGACGTCTACATGGGCACGGCCAGCTTCGTGGGGAAGAACGAGATCTCCGTGGCGGGGCGGCGCCTCTTCTTCCGGAAGGCGGTGATCGCCACCGGGGGCCGCGCCAAGGTGCCGCCCATCAAGGGGCTGGACCAGGCGGCTTCTGGGGCGGGGGTGGGGAGGAGGGGTGGGGTAGGGGGGGGGAGGGGAGCTCCTTCAAAAGCATCGAACATCATGGGTGGGTTGTGGGGAAGGGGGGGGGTTGGGGGGATGGGGGGGGGGTTTGGGGGGAGGGGGGGGGAGCGGGGGGGGTAGCTCTCTGGGTTTTTCTGGTGACATTGTTTTGGACACCTTGAAGGGCCTGAGGTGAGTGTCCATTGTGTGTTTCTTTCTTTTTTTATGGGGAAATATAGGGAACCCCATCTAGACGTCATTGTGGTTTTAAGACGGCTTGTTCGCGTTGACCCTGTCGATGAGGCCTGAAGTCCTTAGAGAACTGGGCATTGGCACATGACATGTGTGACGGAATGTGCACCTCCAATACTGCGGGTGTTACCATCCATTCATGTCTCCTGGTGGTATTCGTCCTTAAATGGGTATGTCTCCGTCACCATCCATGCACACCTCAAAAAAAAAGGTGTTTTCCCCGCGGCGTCATGTTGCTTGGCCTGGTGGATCGAACTTCCGGTTGGGCAAAGGGTTGCGCCCAACGCATGGTATCTCCAGACCGGCGCATATCCGTCCTGTGGATGCACACAATCCGCTTCCCACCAGTTGGGATTGGTTTCTCACCATAGGTGTCCTTTTTGGGTTGGTTTGGTTGAAACATGGAGTGCGATTCCTGGTTTCCCTCATTTACCAGGGAAACCCATCCATTTTCCCAAAGGACCGCAAGATGTTTCTCACCCCGAGTTGGGGTCCTCCTTTGGCCTCGGCTCGCAAACCCACCGCAAAGCAAGGTACCCAGCAAAACAGGGGGAGGCGGAAGATCTGATCTTCCGCGCGGGCCAAGGAAGAACTGACACTGAAAGGATCCCCTATGTTGGGAAATGCCCGGCTGAAAAAGAGCCAGAATCTGAACGCTTTACTTTCCGGATGCCCCTGTGTGGGCCCAGTAAGGCAAATGACACCAGTAGGCCTGAGGAGAGCGCAAGGAATAAGGAAACAACTGCCAGGTTTAGGGTGTTGCTTTTTCTTCTTGTTTGAGAAATACCAAAACATGGCCTTAAACAATTGGGAGCATGTCTCAGCAGGGGGACTTCTGAATCCCATCCCCAAGCGTTGCCAAACTGTGCTAAATGGGACCCATTAGGCACAGGCATCCATATTTGGGTGTTTCTCAAGATCGGGAACCCCTTTTTGGATGGTTGTAAAGGGAAACCCCTAATTGTGAGAAGCAGCCATACCGTGGGTGGGTAAAATCCTGCACCGCTTGAAACCATGAAAGTCGGAATCCAATCATTTTTGGTTTGCCCTGGAAGTTCCGCAGGTTTTAGGCTTTGCCATCTGCCAAGGGTTCCCTTTTCAGGGTTCCATCCATTTTTGGAACCGCAGCCATAGAGGTTCCTTTTTGGGGTTCCATTTCCCCGGGTTGCCTTTTGGGAGTTACCCCATTTTTCAACCACAGCCATATGGCCATGAATTTGATAGGGAACCCCTCCAAAGTGGTTGGTGGACCTTATTCACGTTCAGACAGGTGGCCCTGGTTGGGGTTCCATCCATTTTTCGAGCCGCCGCCTTTGAGAGGTTCCTTTTTGGGGTTCCACCTACCCGGGGCCTTTGAGAGGTTCCTTTTTGGGGTTCCATGAAACCCCGCGTTCCGGAAAACGGGGTTTCGAGCGAGCGAGAAACAAGCCGCCGAAGCGCTCTGGGGAGGTGCGGTTTCTGAGCAACGCCACGCTCTTCAACCTGACGGAGCTGCCGAAGCGCTTCTGCGTGCTGGGCGCGGGGCCCATCAGCCTGGAGATGGCGCAGGCCTTCCGGCGCTTCGGTAGCGAGGCGGGGGGAAGGGGGGTGGGGCTGGGGTGGGGAGTGGGGAGTGGGGGTGGGTGGGGGTGGGGGTGGGGGGGTGGGGTGGGGGTGGGGGGGTGGGGTGGGGGTGGGGGGGGTTTGGGGTGGCGGAAGCAAGGCTGGGGGGTTCAATGGTATTCTTGGCGGATCTTTTGAGACCTGTCGGAGGAGAAGGGCAAACCTGCCCGATAAAAGTCCAAGGAAGGGAAACGCGCCTTTGGGATTCGAGAGAAAGCCTTTTATTATTTGGCGGGGTCTGGCTTTATGTCCTTTTTCAGCCTGTGTAAACATTGCCCTGTGGCTGCCACTGTTAGATAAGTTCCATCTTGGAGTTGTTGTTGTTTTTTTGTTCCCCCCGATTGACCTAGCCCTAACCATGGGGGGTACCTTCCAACCATTCTTTCCAGGGATCCTTCTTTTCAGGAAGGTCACCGGTCTTGCCGTTCAATTCGACCCAACTCGCAATGCAACAAATGCGAGCCAGGACTGAATATAGAGATGTAGAGGTTGCCCGAGCTGTTTGCGCCGCTTTTTCCGACGATCCAAAAAGATGAGCCGTTTTGATTCGCGAATCTGAGTCCCATCCCGCGTTGTCCCCGAGCCGTTCCAGGTGACGGTGCTGGAGGTGGCGCCGGAAATCTTGGGAGCAGAAGATGACGACGCCGCCCTGCTGATTCGCAAGGTCTTCGACGAGGAAGGCCAGAGATGCCATGTTGGCCATGGCGGATTGCATAGCTTCACTGTTCTTGGCATGTTGTTTTTTTTTGTTTGTGTGTTTTTGTTGGTTCTGTTCATTTTTTACTGGGGGTCTGAAAAAAACAGTCAGCTTTTCGCCACCATACCAAGAGCAGAGATGATAGGTTGTGGCCATTCAGTCGGCCTTGAGCCCTCTTAGGGCCATTGGGTGTCAAGGCTTCGAACTTCAGGCCCTGTGGCGAGTAGAAGTGCCAAGCATCGGGTACTCCTTGGTGCCGTTTGAGGCCTTGGAGTTGTTCACTTGCCGGCCTTCTCACCTTTTCTTCACTTCGAACCTATTTTTTTAGTTCGAGGTTCCGAAAGGCAAACCTCCATTTGCAGGCCCAAGTGAGTTTCAAACTGCTACACCTTGGAGGCATCACAATCTACACCAAGTGCCAGATCTCCTCAGTGTCGCAGACCGGCGCGGAGATCCACTTGAGCATCTCCGTGCAGGGCCAGGAGAAGACCATCACTTGCGACGAGCTGCTGGTTGCTGCGGCTCGGCTGACTGCCACGGCAAGGGTTGGCTTATGTTGGCGATTTTTTGAGGGTACCTTTTTGAGGTGGGTTTTCAAAGGGAAACCAAAAGAAAACCACCAATTGCGAAATGTTGACATTACCTTTTGAAATGGGTTTTCAAAGGGAAACCAAAAGAAAACCACCAATTTGGGGGGGAGGGGGGAAACACGCACAAATGTCATTGGTTTGTTTGTTTAAGGGCTACCGCCCGTACGAAGCCTCTCCGCTTCATGCTAAACATCACTGAATTTCTCAAGCGGGCCCCGGTCAGACGGTCTGATTCCTCACTAGATGATTGGACGGCAAACCTGCAGAGTTTCTGCCCAGCCTTTCATATTTCTAGGGGTAGCTTCCCCATTCTTTCCAGGGATCCTTCTTTCTAGAAAACCTCCAGAAACCCAGGGAAAAAGGATCCTGTTTTTGGAAAGAGCGATGGTTGAATAGAATGGACAAGAAATCAACCCCTAGGTATATGAGTTGATTTTTTTTGGAGTTCAACAAATCGTGTGGGGTAAAAATGCGTGCAGCCACGGGGGCGCTGGCGTTTGAGGCCGGCCGGGCGGCCAACGTTGAGGGCCTTGGGCTGGAGGCTGCAGGCGTGGAGTCGCCTGGCAAGATGTGCCAAGCGGGTAACCAACCTTGGCAGAGAGGCCGCTTTGAGGTCGTGTTTTTTTCTGTTGGTTTTTGTTGGGTTGTATTTGTTGGCTTCGCTTTTGTTTTCTTTTGGTGTTTGTTGATTTTATTTTACGGCTGGAACCTAGGCTTGTTTTGTTTGTGTGTGTGTGTGTTGTTGGTTTTGTTTTGTTTTCTTGGCTGGAACCTAAGCTGAATGAACGGCACCATGAACCCAGGTTTTCACCCAATGGCGTGAAGGTGAATGATGACCTGACGACAACCAACCCGGATATCCTGGCCATTGGCGATGTCATCGAGCGGGCCGACACCAGGTTTACGCACATGTCAGGGACCATGGCTGGAATGGCGGTGCAAAATGCCATCTTCCCCCATGAAGGATTGCCAGTGAATGCTCCTTCTTCCAAGCTGTCGGAAGTCGTCGTGCCGCGCTGCACCTACACCGAGCCTGAAGTCGCTTCCTGCGGGGTGTCGAATGAGAAGCTTGCCAGTCGTCAGGGCGTAGAGGTGGAGGTGTACAAAGCCAGCATTGAGCACAATGATCGGGCAATCCTGGAAGGATGCAAGGAAGGCAGGGCTCCTTAAAAGATACATTTTGCAACCATTTGAAACATGTTTTTTGCACCAAAGTAAAGGGGAACCACCATACACAAGGCAATGTTCAGGTGTATAATGTAAGGATCCCTGGAAGGCTACGTGAAGATTCTGTGCCGTCGAGGAAGCGAAGAGATTGTGGGCGCAACCATCGTGGCGGAACATGCCGGAGAAATGCTGGCGGAACTCACACTGGCCGTCCAGCATCGTCTTGGCATTTCACAAATCGCAGCGACCTTAGTGCACCGGTCACGCTGCAACTCAAGGTGGCTTGCATAAGCAAGGAGTGGGATCGCCGGGGCGCATGCAGGGGGTTGATCAAAAGGTCCTTTACCTGACATGACCACTGGAGACAACCACTCAAAAGATTTGACATATTTCCCAAAAAGGGGAAAGAGTTACCCTGAACATGATATCAAATGAGAATATTTTTTTTTTTACTCAAAAAAGCCCATGGTCAGTTGGGCCCTTTTACGGAATATGGATCAACCCCCCATGTCGGGCTTCACTGAGGCCAGGACCGTGCACCCGTACCCCACGCTGGGGGAGGCCGTGCAGCAATGTGGGGCCCCCAGTGGCGCCATGTGGCGCCTCTTTTTGGTGTCAAGGCTCCCCTGGAAGGCGCTGTTTTTGTCTCCCCTTTTTGTTATTTTTTTTGGGGGGGGAGGGGGGATGCAAGGTCCCCCTTGAAGCGAAAAGCCAGCCCCCAAGAAGGAAGCCCCTGGACATTTCCTGGAACTCTGGGCATAGGTGCCTTGAACTACAACCGCGCGAGATGGGCGAAGAAGCAGAAGACGGAGGCCTGAGGCGCAAGCTTGGGCAGGTGCCGCAAGACGCTGACCCATGCCATGTGTTGGTTTCTAGGAGTCGCCATGACCCTCAAAAATGGGTCCATGAGCCCTTGAAATTGGGGTAATGATTTTATTTTTTTGAGGGCCATGGAGACTCCAGGTCGGGGTGCCAAAGTTGCCAGCGTTTCTTTGTCCAACAGCTTGGCCTACTTTCAAAGTAGGTGTGATACCCCTGGCGGTCCTTCTATCACCTCAGGAGGCTGGTGAACTTAGACTAGGGTCAGTGTGATATGAGTATGTGCCACAGATTTTATTTATTGTTTTAAAGAAGAAGAAACAAAAACAGGGTTGTCCTCTTTTTGGTTTCCCGGCAAACCACCCGAAAAGGGTACCCATGCAAACCAGCTTGTCAAGCGTGTTCCAGGCAAAGAGGCGTGATCAATACGGGTGTGTCTTTGGATCGCAGCTTGCGCGGAGCTGGAGAATGCTGGAGACCAAAAGGAAACTGACCATGTTGTGTAATGTTCGGGGGTGGGGGTCCCACAGCATACCGGCACAAACCAGCAATCAAGCTGCAAAAGGTTTGGAAAGGAATCCTTGCAAAGTGGGTTTGTCTCAAAATGGGGGACCCAGAACTGGCTTCGGTGTTCCTTGTGGTTTCCCGTTACAATCAATCAAAAGGGGTTCCCCCCCCAAAAAAATAATAATAGAAGGAACAATATCCAAGTTGTCAGACATGTCAACTTGCATTTCCATGCGCTCTAACCGGGCCGTGCCCCCGTCCAGGACGGTTACAAATAGGTGACAGAGAATGAGGCGCCGCTTTGAGTGGCGGAGTCTCTGAGTAATTGTGCCTTTGCGCAACAAGGCTTTTGTGAAGCCTGCACATGGCACTTGGCCATGTTTTCTTGCGCGAACGACGACATCTGATGCCGTAGCTTGGGTTCAATCACCCTTTCAGATGGCTTTACAGCAAAGCCAAAAACGGCAGAGAAAGGCTTTGCGCTGCTCATGTGCCTTGGCCATATCCTTGCAAGAAGGAGGTGCTAGAACTACCGGTGGCCGATTGAGACAGGGTAAAGGAATTACCCGCACATGTGTTCCCGATCTATCGTCCGACCCGTCCTTGACAAACTGATTCAAGATATGTATCCTCTCTTCATTCCACTTCCACTCCTTGGATGTCAAGATGTTGGCGCAGTGGAATTCTTGCGTGGGCATCAAAGCCCTCTTGATTCCTTCAAGCCAAGCTCGGTATAATACGTAGACCATGCAGTTGCATGCACATTTTCTACTATTGAACCCTTGATAAGTCAGCGCTGGAAGTCCTCGCCCCTGCGCGCGGCTTGTTTTTTTTTGCTAGCTGGATGATTAAGGCACGTGCCGCCAGGGGCGTCTTGAATTCAAATTGGTTCGGATTGGCTTGGCTTGAGTCTGGTTCTTGTGGCATGGGGAAACCCACAAGAGGCAAGCAGGGGGCTTGATGGATTTTTCAGGAGGCGCCCCGGCTGCTGGAGATTCTTCGCCACGATGGGCTGGTGCCCTGCCGGAGAAATCGAGGGTCGATTCGCCGGGCTTTCCAGGTGGCCGCCCGGCAGCTTGGCGGTTTGGATTGGTTTGTTTGGGGAGTTGGAGCCCATGTTCTTGCATCAATGAGACACCCCTCAGCCACCAAACCACCGGGCTCCAAACCAAGTGGGGAAGCAGATGGTCGGTCGAGTGGTCGCTTTTTCGCTCCGGCCTCGATACCCATGCCTGATCCTCATGGCCCTGCACAATTGCCTGTGTGCGCACAGTTGGGGCGCAGAACGGGGCGCGGAAAGCATATCAAGCTGGGGATGCTTTGCAGCCCGCAGGCGCACCAGAAAGGCTTCCTGACCTTGCAGCAGCCAGCGAGTTTCGAACTCAGATGCAGCACTAGCCCAGAGCAGTAGCTAGCAGTAGCTACCTGAAGCGAGAATTGTCATGGAGTAGAAGAGTTGCTGGGGGGGAATGCTGCTTGCCACATACAACTTCTGAAAGTTCTTCGTGGGCCTTTGAGAGTGTCAAAGCTATTTGAGCCTGGGCGTGTACAGTGCCTGATGGCCAACAGTTGCCAGTGATCAGGAAGGTGGCCCTTTCCCCCGGAGGCCACTGGGCGAAGATAAGAATTGATGGGCGCCACTCGTCTTAGGAATCACCATCCGGTTCATCCGCGAGATTGAGGCCCAGAACTTATTTCAAGCAGCCCCAGCTTTGAAGGAAGCTGTCCTATAGGGTTGCAACAAGTCTCAGTTTGACGCGTGCATCGGTGCCAGAGACAGACTGAGGAGCTTAGAAGTACTCAGTTGAAGAGGAGATCGAGATGGCTCTTTGTGCTTCTTCTATATCGTGGTTAGACCCCCTTACTGCAGTTACTCAGATGCCCAGTAGCCATGGGAAAAAAAGGGGGCTCTCTTGAACTGCGGGGATTTCGTGAGTTGTACTTGGCGCTTAGGGCATCCGTACCCAAATGTTAACCGTGAACTCTCCTGCGCCAGCCCGCCTATCAAGTCAGAGAGCTTTTGGCCGCGCACGGTTCTGCCCGGGACTCAGTGGGACTCAGCGGGGATGAAAGCAGCATGAACTGTGTGGCTGAGGGAAGTCAAGGCTGAAAAAGAGCAACTTGCTTAAGCCTCGGGCGTCTTGAATTCTAAGAAAGGCCCAAGTTGATTTGGGCATGCGATTGATCTCCAATTGGGGGTGTTCTTCGGATTTGCGTTTGACGCCAGACATCAGCTATCCTCGTTTGGCAGCAGTTGTGGGCCGTGGTTTTCATGGGCAACTCTTGTTCCTTCCTTTGGGGTTACGAAAGGATTTGGTCCGACTGCGCAATAGTTTCGCGGGATTTAGTTATGATTGTAAGACTGAATCGCCGGAGATTCCCCGCCAGGGATTTCGATCTTTGGGAGTTTCTCAATCTTGTGGCCCCTCTTTGGCATTTGAAGGCAAACCAAGAGGAAGCCGATTCCCATGTGCAGGGACCGACTCCTATTTTTAGACCCCCCCCACCATTCTTGGGGGTTTTGGTTGGTTTGTAGTGGGAGGCCGGCCGAAAAGGGAGGCCAACAGGAAACCTTCGCCATTTTGAGGGTCAGATTCCGATTTTTTTTTGGGACATGGCTGTGGGTCAAAAATATGTACCCAAAATGGGTTGCCCTGGTAAATAGAAACTTGGACTAAAACCTGTGGTCCGATTCCTGGTGGTTTCATTTCGACCCACACCCATTTTGCGACATCCTTAGCTTGCGAGGACTGCAGCAGCGCCATGCGGAAGCGACTGCTGCGCTTCCCGGGGGCGAAAAGAAGAGTGTGTAGGCAGCAGTCTCTTACGAACTATTTGCTTTGACTGCCATTGGGTTGGATCTTTAGACTTCAACTTTTTGGTTGAAATCAAGGCGTTTCCCACTACACCACCAAAAGGTTATTCACTTTTTGCAGGGGGGGCAACAGCAACCAAGTTTGGGTATGGGTCGAAATTAAACCACCGGGGGACCGCAGGTTTTAGTCCATGTTTCCATTTCCCTGGGTTCCATTTTAGGTACCTATGTTTGACCCACAGCCATTTGGAGAAACACCCATAAGTGCAATGGGTTCTGCAGGGTTCCTTGAAGGATGCGTCCGAAAGCCACCTGCTTAGAAGATCCTGCACTGATTTTTTGGACTGACCTCAGCTTGTATGCGGGCCCCGCTTGGACAGGTTGGCAAAGGTGGGATTAGTTTCAATATCGAAAAGGCGCCTGGCTTTGGGATGTGTAGATGACATCCGATTTGTGTTTTCAGCAACGAGGGTAGCTTGAAGGATGATAATGTTTACCCCGGATTAAAAAAAACACCTGGTTGATTAATTGGGGGTCCAATTCCTTTTAGTGGGCATTCAGACCAATGTTGGAAGCATTAGTTGGTGAATCCGGAGGCCTCGCTGTTGCCAAAATGAGCTTTCAGCAATCGTCGCATGACCTGGTTTGGTTAACCTGGGATGGCCGTGAAGCCTTCCGCCAGACATTCGGACATTCTTCTTTTGCAAGGGTTGCCACGCGGGAACTGTTGCCATCGCCTGTGCAAGGAGGTATTTGATCCTGTTTGTTTTTCTGCGGGGGGAGATGGTCACAGGCAGCATCCAGGCGTGCACAAAATCAAAGACAGAGCAACTGAACCAACATTTGGCAAAGGCGGCATTTCAAGACAGGCTGTGCGAGGATGAGTGCACACAGGGAAGGCAAAGACGAAATCGGTGGCAACGCCGCAACTCGAAGATGAAATTCGCCAAGACAATCATGCCAGTCAACGGATGCCCTCGAAGGCGATAACCGCGCCGAAGGCTAGCGTCAAACACGCAGACACCGAGTATCCCGAAAGCATTTTCAAGCAATTCCTCGAAGCAGACGTAGTCGAAGCAGACGTAGTCGAAGCACATCACGGACAACCGACAGACTGTCAACGATGGCGCTTTCTGCCGGAAAGTCAGCCTGCCACATGGATCAATGTGGCATTTCATTCTCACTTACTTAGTTGGAGCTGCGAACGCGAACTCCACGCCATGCTTTGGTGCGTGGGTCGTGCGGTTTGGTCGGAGACGTTCAGATTTGGGCGAGCACGGGACCGCTATTTTCAAGCGCGAACGAGGCAGACGCCTCAGCCAGCGTCAAGGCTGTGCCTCGGCGTCGACGTGCAAAGTGAAGACTGCAAAACTTCTCATTTAGGAATTTGGCTCGGGAAAAACGCCAGGACGCTTAAAAGCAGTGGCCCTTTTCCGTGCATTGTCAGAAACTTTTGTAAGCATAGACCTCCAGGTGATGTTTCTGGTATGCCAGCGTGAAGCGTTGCTACGCCGTGGTCCAAACACGCAGAGGTGTTGCGGGCGGTTGACTGCGAGTCATGCAGGCGACGGCTCAATCCTGACAGTCATGTGCTGCGCGTTCTTCATCCAACTTTCCACTTGGCGGTGGATCAGTTTAACTGGCCCACACATTTCTGGGGAACTTGTCCCATTTAGTGGGGCAAAAACATTTTTAGCGGGTTTCGCCAATGGTCTCCTCATGCTTACCGGACCTTTTGTTCAACCCCACTTCACCAAATTCACCATTTCTCCAAATCGCATTTGTTGACTGCCCTTTCAAGAGCCTTCCAAGCAGTGGGCCATGTGCACCATGCACAAGCCACAACCTGCCACCGAATGGCTTCTGCAGAGGACGAAGCCTATGGTAGGGGGTCCGAAGGGGCTCGGCTTTCTGCGACTCGCAGGGGCAAAGGGAAAATCATCACCAAGGGGCGCCTCATGATTTGCAGTTCGGGGCGAGGATGCGGCCGATCTTTGCCAAAGGTACTGTTGGGTGGCGTCATCCTACGTGATTGCGTGATGGCGGCACTGCTCGTCCCTGGCAGGATGAAGTGAGCGATGTGACATCAAGACAGTCCTCGCCTCAACATGACTTGGCAGACTGCCCCAGCAAGGATGGGAGCGGATGTGAGCTCAAATAATGTGCAGAAGCCATGGCTCTTGCTCAACCCCCTTTTGTGCTTCTTGATGCGCTTCCTCAAGAACTATGGCTATAAAAAACAAAAGCATGTTTATGTTGTCCGAGTCATTTCACTTTCCTTGTGGGCCACACGTTTTTGCCTTCTTTTTTTTTGGAGGCCACGCGCAATAGAACCCCCTAGGTTGGAATGGCTGCGCAAGGTGCGGGAGGCGTCACCTGGGCGGTTTCCAGAGGGGGCCCCGCATGTTCGTTCCATGACTCGTGGGCTGAATCCGCCGGACCGGGGCGGGGAGTTTGCAGCCGCCAAGCTGTGACTTGCATTGGCACGTGTGACTTGGGTCACTGACACGTGTTCGATCCATTCGGCAGAGTTCTGAGATGGCAAGCTCACCGAAAGGTAAGCGGGCCCAGTATGACGTGGGTCCTTTACTTGGATCTTTGATGTCAGGCTTACAAGTGGAGCATGGCAAGCAGACAGCAACCCGTCCGCCCTTGGCTCATGCAGCCGACTTTTGACAGCAAATGCACGCGGCACGGCGCGGCTAAAGGCAACGCTCTTGCTTTCCCACGTTTGCAAAGGGGGCCTCCGTGATATGAGAATGGCTCCCGGCTGAGGCGTGAGCATTGCAGCCCCTGACATGCAATCACCGCATGAGGGTAGTTTCATGAATCGTCTAAGATGCTTGCAGGCAGTTGCAGAAGGCTTTTGCTGTGAGGTCCGCCCCAGCCGTTCCTCCCGTGGCTTAAGCAATGGATGCATCCGCTCTGGCACAGCTTCTGCAACAAAGCTTGCCCTGCTACTTGGAGTCAGGCCACCAGTTGCAAGTGACCGCTTCTCAAGACACAGAATGGCACCATGTCTATTTTGCGCCTCCGCAAGCATTTGTCAACCTTTGTTTTTTGTTGCTTCTCATAGTTCCCCATGGCGATTGCTTACAAGCGTTTCGTCCGGCCTGGGTATTTTTGATTCAGGTGGATGATGGGAAGCAGAGGGTTGCTGTGAGCATCCCCTCCTGGACAGGGACCGAGCTACTGACCAAAGTCTCTGCAGAGGAGGCACTGGGCGAAGCAGGCGTTGGCCCCGCACACCTGGCGACAATCAACCTGGAAGATGGCAAGGCGAGTCCGGATGTCGACCCCAGATGTTGTCAACCTTGGGGGGGTGGTCCCCTTTAGTGTTGATTAAATGTCCCCTTTAGTGGGGCATCATTACTTGGAGGGGAAGATGAAATCATTTTTTTTGGGGTGGGGGGTGTCCCCTTTAGTGGGGCGTCATTACTCGATTACTGTTGGAGGGACCCCCTCTAAAATATTCGACAGATTGATTTGTCATGGGGGAGATTGCTTTCTGGCAAAGTGTCCCTCTTTCAGGTTGGTGAAATCTCGCCTGGACATCCGGCACAGACAACTAAGATCAGCGTATCACCGGTTGTTTACGGATCGCCTTCATATTGGTTTTCCAATAGGGGTTGGAAAGTCGGATTGGCCCACTGTCAAAAAATGTCAGTCCTCAAATGTGTGTTTTCTTCATGCTTTTTCCCGGAAATTGGGGCACCTAGAAAATCAGGTTCCCTCCAATCGGTGGTTTGGATTGGCGGTTTGGTGGTCCAGACTTTCCGGGGTTTCGCATCCCTCTTCAAGAACCAAGTCAAAGCACCAATCCGAACCTGGGAACTTACCAAAGGGTGGTGTCAGTTTGGTTTCTCCCAAAAGGGGTGCCCTTGAAAGACACCAAATGACCTTCGGTTTCACCTTCGGCAGGTTGTTTTGGTGAACGAATTCCTGGAGGGCGGCACGCTGTCCGCAGATGAGCTGAGCCCTGCAGTTCTTTTCCAGGCGCCCAACAGCCCCACAAAACTCCGACTCTGGGCCACTCAAAGGAAAACCCTTACGCTGGCTGTTCAAATGTTCAATCAAGTTTTGATATATTTTGATGACCGTCCCCGACTCCAAGCAAACAGGAGTATCACCATGGCAAATTGCTTGGTGTCCGCTCTGACCTGCACCATGTCAGAGCTCAAAAACCACTACCTTGCAAGCATGGCAGATGGGCCCTCCCAAATGACTGGTGGACATAAACCCCCATGTAAAATTTGGGCAAAGGCTGCGGCCAATCCTCGTATTTTTTTTTCCTCTGGCTGCCAGAGAAAGCACCAGAAGCCCGCTGGCTCAGTCTGAGTTTCCAGAAAGTGCTCATAATGTGGGGCGGTTCGGAATTGCAGGGGGGGTTTCTCTAAAGCGGGTCCCCAAAATGCTGGTTGTTTTGGTCCCCCTCGCTGGATACCAACCCAAACTGGGGTCCACCATTTTGAGCAACTCCCAGCACGAGAGAGAGAGAGAGAGTCTTTTCCGATAACGTTTAGTTAAAACCTTCTTACATCCCAAACAAGGTGTAACTACACCTCTTGTCAATGCCGTACGCATCACACCAGACTGTGAGAGAGGGTCTGTTGCCAGACTTGACTCACCTGTCTGCGCTTTTCTCCCCTTGTACTTCCTTCATTTTCCCTGCGTTTCCCCTCTAGCTGTGCGCCACCTTGAATGGTGGCCTGGTCGTCGTGGAGTTGCTTGCGGAGCTGCAAGAGGCCTCAGTTTGCGGCGGGCGCTTCCCAAAGTTCAAGCTCTTCGTAGTTCTTCAGGACCTGGCAGTCTCGGCCTTGCTCGCCATGGACGTCTTTTGTTGGGTCTACTTCTCCGTGCCTGCAAACCTGCAGATCTCTCCTTTACGAGTCTTGTCATGGCGACAGATCTTCGCCTGCCCTTTCGGAGGCTGAAGTCCCCTTCATCCGGTTCGCAGGCATGGGCCTTCCTGTTAGTGCGTCCCCTTATGGGCGTGCGGGAAGTATGTGCCGCTTGCCATGTGCCACGCCATGCGGCACTTCCAAGCGCAGGGTGAATTACCTCACCCAGCTTTTGCACGGTTGCGGGGAAGTTAAAGGTGAAATCGAGAGGCAGATGTGAGTCTCACCTCCCGAGTTCCGTTTCGGACTTTAACCACCTTTTGGGAGCACCATTTTAGGGGGAAAAAAACAAGTTTGCACTTTTTTGGCCGGTCCACTCAGGAAGTGAGTAGTGTTTTGTTTCCGCAGGGCTCCAGTTCTGGCAGTCTTTGGGTAGGTTGGGCAGCTCTACGGGAAGCTGCACAGCAGCAGCACCACCTGGTTCGAGCCATTGAGCCAGCGCCTGGTGGAAGAGGGCACGTTGCTTCCCCAGCATTACTTCCCCTGTTTACTTTTATGTTTGCTTTTTGTTCGGTTCCCTTTGTTTTTTCCACTAACCAGGCAACAAATAATAATGTTTTTGTTGGGGTCCTAATTCCAGCCAAGGTTGGAACTGTCAGACGGGTCCTGGGCCGCGGTGTGGAACCTCTGGCGCTTCTTCCGCGCCGCGACTTGAAGGTTTCGTCGGGCTCTTGTCGGAAGAAGGGGTCCGACCTGGAACAGGGCAAAGGGCGTCATTCTTGGAAACACGTGTCGCCGACCCTCAACTTTGAGAAATATGGGCATACCTTGGCAACCTTACCTTGGCCACTGGGAGTTCCACTCCAATGCTGATTCAGAGCCATATGAAGAGCCATTGCAGCCTAATCGTGACTATTATTATTGCATTTAGGGACGAATAGGGGCCATCAAGGACAATTCCGGACAATTAAAGGCCATGAACTTCTTATGGCATGTCCTGTTTTGCTCCTCTGAAGCCATGAATCCAGGAATGGTTCCAGATGCCAACCGCCGAGAGATGCAAGAGAAGGGCGTCGACTGGGACTTTCTCGCGGATGAGATTCGGAGTTTGAGCTCGAACGATTTGCTGCCATCGGGCCTGACCGCTGCCACTGCACTTTTGCTGCAGCTCAGGACCCCCCAAGGACCCAAGTCTTTCTTAAGGAACGGAAACCGAAGCGGCCATGTCAGTGACGAGGTGCTAAATAGCCCACCCATAGCGTGTTGAGTTTTTGTGAAGGAAGCCCAAAAGAGCGCGAAGTGCTTTCAATTTTTCCGGACCCCCTGTTTAGCCCCTTTGGTGAACTATGCAGCCAGGTTTGCGTTCATGGTGATGCGCATTTGGGCAACATCATGTGGCACAAGGCTGGGTCCATTGTGTGACATACTCCAAAAATCAATTCCCCTTCAAAAGGTGGGTTAAAGGACACCACCCCCCAAAGTATGTTTTCAAGGAACCCTTCACAGATGTTCGCTTTAGCTTTATTGCTATTTGGTTGGATCTTTGGACGTTTTAACTTTTTGGGACAGTGGATTTTCTATTGGACCCCCGAAGCGGAGACGCATTTTGCATAGGGGTCGTTACAGCCACCATTTTTCCGCATTTTCCACCATTTTCCCACCATTTTTACACATGACAATCCTTCAGTGTGAGGATTCTCTACTCCAGCTTCAGCTTTTCGTAGAGTCGACGCCCCCATTTTCGTTGGGGGGTTGACCGCTTTCGTGGGGGCTTGAGGATTTTTCATGCCCAAAACGAAGGCTTCTGTGGACTTTCCATTGGCCCTTCTTAAAACCAAGAAGCATGTTGGCATCGGGGTGGTTCCAGCACAGGGGGAGCTGAGATTGATTGACTTTGACATGACCTTGCTGGGGCCCGCCGGCTTTGACCTGGCTTACCTGGTCTTGATGCTGAGCCTTGGCTCAGCTTTTTCGGCTTCCCCCGGCCCTCCCCTCCACAGCTGGAAACGATTTGGGGTCTTCGACCCCACATAACCTCGTTCGGGGTCGTTTGGGGCAGATTTCAGGGAGGGTTCCGGAGGGTTGCAGATCTAGAAAACGGTTTGGATGTGGCTTTTGTGGATCCAGCCCGTGTGGGATATTAAAAGAGTACTAATACTATATATAAAAGATTACTCGAAAAGGATCAACAGGGGGAAGAACAGGTGAAATCCACAAAAGGCACATCCACACCGTTTTCTAGAGCAGAGGATGACCTGGGCTGTTGGGGATATCACCTGGGCTTATTTGTTCTCCTTTTCGAAGAAGTCTTCACCATGGCATGGAGGAGGTTTCGCTTCGCATCTCCGTTTTCTAAGGTTTCGGTGCGGGTTCAGCCGCGAGATCGTTGCGAGCATGGAGTCGCAGCGCCAGTTCGCTCAGGGCTATTTGCAGCACATGCGGGCAGGGTTGGGCTAAAATTGCCTTAAAAGGGAATCTCAAGGGGGACGTTAAACAATAGTTAGTGGTTTAAACAGCATGGGGGCGCATGATGGTTGGCCCAACCCTGCATGCCAGGCGGACACGGGGGATGATGCCGTGGACCAGTTCTTGTTTGACATGCACCGATGGGCATATGTTGGAATGATACAGATGGGCCTGCTGTGTGCCGTTCTTATGCACCAGGAGGGCAACCCGGCAAAGCGACAGCTGATGCAAATGCGCGGCCCCGTGCTTTTGCATCCGGAGTTCCTGTCCAGGGCAAAGGATGTGATCCAGCAAGCCAGCTTGGATCCGAAGGAGCGCGCCAGACTTTGTGAGGAAGGAATTTTCTTCGCGACCGAGTCTTCATGGTCTTCCTGAGGCGAGGTGCCCCGCTGATGCCCCGCTCACTCGAGCGGCTTTTTGCGGGTTCCTTACTTAACGCCGCATCAGCGGCCGATGGGGATGCATGAGCCAGCCACAAGCCGCTGAGCTGTGATCGCTTAAGCAAAGAGAGACGAAAGCGCCTACGTTTCGGGCGGCTTTGAGTGGTATGTGAAAGCGGGGAGGAAAAAGGCTCGTTCACCCCACTGTGTCCAAAACATCATTCTGGGACGGTATCCTAATGCAATTGCATGTGTAGCATGCTTTTTTCCTCACTCCTACCGGTGTGTGGAGGTTTCTTGTCATATCGTTACATAAGCTTGTTTAGGCCGGCTCGTTTCCGCCCCATGAGACCGCCTTCAGTCAAGGAACTCTTCCCAGCGGAGCTTCCACAGGTCACCTTCGGCCAGCAAGCGTGCAGCTTGCCCAAGGGACCTGGAAACTCGAAAAACTGATCACCTTTTTCGCGGCATCCCCAAACCCCTGAAACTCCGAAAATTGGGGGGGGGGACTTTGGAATTTCTGGAGATCTCCACTTCTGGCGCCACTGTCGTCCCTTTTTCCGGGGACGTGCAAGGGGCTTTTGGGGCATGGTCGTTGTTGGGAAACATTTTGCTCAGTTTTGCTGAATTTGTGGTTTAGTGGTTGAAAACCACACTTAACTGCTAAAGTTTTAAATGTTTGCGCCCTTCCAACGTCAACCAAGTCCATTTGTGGCTGTCTCTATGGGGACGAGATCCATGGACCTGGGTCCCGGACCCCCCTCTCCGCCTCGACACCTTGGGCAGCGCACGCCTGGCGCCAGGCGGTGAACCTCACCGGGCCGCCGCCGCCACAAGTGCTGCGGTCCTTGGCGCCGCCAGAGGACCGGAAAGTCGAGAGATCGAGCGGGCGGTCCCGAAAAGTCTTTCTTGGGAGTCTCGTTTGTTTTCTTGGGGGGCGCACCCCCGGTTTTTGCTTAAGTTTCTTTTTTTAGGACCAAACAGAACGCCATTTTGAGGGGTACTCGAAAGAGAAAAGCACTCCAAAATGGCAACTCCAGAAAATCTAGATCTGCTGCAACCAGCATGTGGGGAGTGTCCTCTCTTTTCTTTTTTTTTGGCGTTGCACCTTTTTGGGGGGTTTTAAGCTGGAGAGCAAAAAGAACACCATCATTTTGGCGGGATTGGGACCAAACAAAAAAAAGAGCAGCCAACTCAACAGTTTGGTCTAGAAAATCAAGATCCGCAACCGAAAGGAACGGGGCATTCCTGAACTGGGGGAAAAAGGATTTCGGTATATTTCGGTTTTTGATTGGCCCTCAGGAGCCCACCCGGCACCATCGGCACCCCAGAATCCGAATGAATGGAAGGGCAGGAGCTCTGGTGAAATTCCTCAGACGTTCTCCCGTCGGGAGGGTCACTGTCGTGTGGGCCACCAAGAGGAGAAAAAACACGGCCCCTCCCCCTTCTGTGTTTGTTTCCTTTTTCGGGGGGCTCAAAAGAGAAAACCGGAAAAGCTATTCGGGGGGGCGAATGCGCCTTCCCAAGTTTTGTAGGTACTGGCTGCTACTGGCTTAGTATTGGGGGACTGTTGGTTTAGTATTGGTTTAGTATTGCTTTGTGCTGCACAAGTACTGGCTTAGTATTGGCTTGCATTAGTATTGGCTTAGTATTGCTTCAGTTGTCTTCTCTCCTTCTTGGTCCTCTCTGCCAAGTAAATTATGGTTTTGAGTTTGAGTATTGCCTTGAGCTGGCCATACTGGCTTTGGTTTGTATTGATTAAGCAGTGTTTTGGTGTTCCGCTCTGGAAAGCGGTTGTGCAGTGGGTACCTCTGTTTCATTTCCATTGTTTAGTACTCCCTTGGAAATGTGCCGTTTGCAAAGCCCCACGTTTTGGTTCTGGCTGCAAGCTTCAAGTGCCAGGATGGCAGCGAGGTGGACCGATCGCCTGACAGGCGCGCCATGTTCATGGAGGCCCTTTCTGTTGGCCCTTGCCGAAAGGGGCACAAGCATGATGTTGTTTTGTTTGGCGAAAAAAATGGGGGGTTCAGTGAAGTTCAGGGTCGGTCCTATGCAGGTGTAATTGGGAAAGGGCGGGCAAGCCAAGCATCAAGAAACAATGCCACCTGAGCAAGCGCGAAGCTCCGCGCAGCAATCAATCAGATTCGACCAGGGAAGATTAGGTCTGAAGCACGATGTGCAGCTCAAAAGAAATGTGTGCCAGCGAGGTCCAAAGAGCTGCCAACCTCGCCAGTGAGCCCGAAAGTGGTGGAGGAGTTGGCGACACTCAGATGGGAGAATGAGGAGAAGAAAAGGACCCGGCGTTGAGTCCATGTCAGCCCTGATTGCGCCCATGGATCATCCGCATAGCCGCAACTTTGCGTAATTCTTGACATCGATACCTTCGGTGCTGTGCTTGCAATGCCAGTACCGCTTTTTCACTGAGGGCGAATCACGCAACCGATGTTGGATGTTGGACTCTTCGCTTGATGGTTTCCGGCTGTGTAGCTTGCGTGTGCCTCTTCGGCTTCCGGGTAAGTTTTACTAGGGGATGCATTTAGCAACCAGGAAATAGCATAACCCCTTATATATTGTGCGCAGTGTCTTTCACAGCAACCACTACACATCACTTTCAGATTGTGTGAGCAAGGGGCATTTTTTGCGAAAAGAAGGGCACGGAACTGAGGAAGTCTCACTCGGAAGGACAGTCCAGGCGCTGGAGGAGATGGTGGACTTGCATGCGCCCCAGAGCAGAGCCACGTGCCGCTCCATGTCCCAAACCCCAAATTTACCATGGACTGCAGCAGCGGACCGCACTTCGTACATTTACACACTGTACTGGCCATAGAGATGTATGAATATATATATATATATATATGGCAGTGAATTTTTTTGAGGGGTCTGTAACAGAGCCGCGGCGGACATTCGTTACAGACCTCGTTACAGACCTCTGTAACAAAACCAGCTGGCTCGTTACACACCCCTCGTTACACACCCTGGTTACACACCCTCGTTACACGCCCTCATTACACACCTCAGCTGAACAAACCGGGCCAGTGACGTGACTGCCCTGTGTCGTTTGCCGCAGCTTGGCTTGCGCTGAGTAGCTGCAATCAAGTGCTTTGCTTTGCCTTGTCACAGACCTCGTTACATGGCCGTTACATACCTCGTTGCAGACCCAACCCCAGCCCGGGCCGGCGACCTCGCTTTTGGCCGCAGCTTGGCTTGCGTTGAATAGAGCTGCGGAGGCGTGCTTTGCGTGCTGCACTTTGCTTTGCCTCGTTACAGACCTCGTTACATAGCCGTTACATACCTCGTTACAGACCCAACCCCAGCCCGGGCCAGCGACCCCCTTTTTGCCGCAGCTTGGCTTGCGTTGAATAGAGCTGCGGAGGCGTGCTTTGCGTGCTGCGCTTTGCTTTGCCTCGTTACAGACATCGTTTAGCCGTTACATACCTCGTTACAGACCCAACCCCAGCCCGGGCCAGCGACCCCCTTTTTGCCACAGCTGGGCTTGCGTTGAATAGCTGCAAGCAAGCTGGTACTGCGGAGGCACGCTTTGCGTACTGCGCTTCGCTTTGCCTCGTTACAGACCTCGTTACATAGCCGTTACATACCTCGTTACAGACCCAACCCCCAGCCCGGGCCAGCGACCCCGCTTTTTGCCGCAGCTTGGCTTGCGTTGAGTAGCTGCAATCAAGCTGGAGCTGCGGAGGCGCGCTTTGCGTCCTGCGCTTTGCTTTGCCTCGTTACAAACCTCGTTACATAGCCATTACATACCTCGTTGTGCTGCGCTACATTGTGCTACTGATACTACTTGTCATGAAATATTTGTCCCGTTACAGACCTGCGTAACAAGGACCTCCGTTACAGACCTCCGTAACAAGATTCGTGGCGCGTCGCGCGTTACAGACCCCTAAAAAAATCATAGCCATATGTATAGATTTATATACAATATGAGTTTTAAGTCTGTGCATATGTGCGTGCTTTGCTTCACGGCTAACTATTGAAGCAACCTTCCATGGCTTGGAAGTCAAACCGAGTGCCCAGGCTGCAAACGCGGTGCCGTGAGCTCGAGGACGAGAGTCGCGAGCGGCGCCCTCATACAAATCGATGCCAGGGGCGGCGCGGCTTTTCCTTTGGCGTCCCCGAAAAAAACCGGCCAAAATGGGGGCAGTTGCAAGAGGACAATGGCGACTTCTCCCCTTTGGCTTTGAAAACCACATCTGGAGGTGTGTTCAAAGGGAAACCAAAAGGACGCCAGAGAGGGTGTGCGTGCGTGTGGTGCGGGTATGTGCTTGTGGTTGTGTGCGTGTGTTTTTAGGCGTGGTTTGTGTTGATGCATTTGCTTAGGTGTATGTAGGGTGTTTTGTGTGTGCTGTGGTTTTTTGGCGCCATGAGGCTACGACTGCTTCGGTGTGCGTAGATGTGTTTTGTGATTGTTTGTTTTGTGCGTTTGAGAGTCTGCTCCCGCTGTCCTTTGCCGCGTCGATTTCTCGGTTGTGTGGCCCGTCATAATTGCCTGCACGTGCATGGAGCTTTTGCTGTGGTGGAGTATCTTTTGACATCTCTTGACCGTGTGAGCGTGCTTGTATGTGCTTGTATGTGCTTGTATGTGCTTGTATGTGTTTGTATGTGCTTGTATGTGTGTCTGTGTGTGTGTGTGTCTGTGTGTGTGTGTGTGTCTGTGTCTGTGTGTGTCTCTGTGTGTCTCTGTGTGTCTCTGTCTGTGTCTGTCTGTCTCTGTCTGTGTCTGTCTGTGTCTGTCTGTGTCTGTCTGTGTCTGTCTGTGTCTGTCTGTGTCTGTCTGTGTCTGTCTGTGTCTGTGTCTGTCTGTCTGTCTGTGTCTGTCTGTGTCTGTCTGTGTCTGTCTGTGTCTGTCTGTGTCTGTCTGTGTCTGTGTCTGTCTGTGTCTGTCTGTGTCTGTCTGTGTCTGTCTGTGTCTGTCTGTGTCTGTCTGTGTCTGTCTGTGTCTGTCTGTGTCTGTCTGTGTCTGTCCGTGTGTCTGTCTGTGTCTGTCTGTGTCTGTCTGTGTGTGTGTTAAAGCGTCATTTTGCCAAAGTCGCCTGAAAAAGGTTGTCCCTAGCAAAATGTACTGGCGGGGACTCTCCTAAGCCACGGGGATTACTTAGCAACTAGAATCTAGAACTAGTCTTGCTCCTACAAGCATTGTCGTTTTCGACCGCCCGCGCCGCCTGCCCACCACTGCTCGGCAAGGTTGATGGACCTGGCAGCAGCGGCCAAGAAGGAGCAGCAGACGGAGGCAGCTCTTCACCATTGACCACTCAGTAGAAGCGGGCTAAACGTGTTGCAGGGTTGGACAAGCCGTCAGTGGGCATGTTGCCCGCAGCATAATAACAGATCACACGTGGCCGCGTGTTGCGCCAGCTGAGCCCCATGTTTGGAACTCCCCGCCATGTTTTCCAACCATGGAATCAATATCTTATCTCTCGTGCGTTCGGCGGGGGTGAAAATAAGAACTGAAAGAGAGGTAGTCGATCAATACTAAATAAATGGAAAATATGGCCTCGTCCTTCGCGCTGGGTACGAGGGAAGCGTAAACGGAGTTCAGTGGGACGAGGGAATCTACGGTCTAGCATAGTGACGAAAGGACTTGGCAGGCCGTTTCCTCGTCTCTTTCCCTCTCTCCATTTTCCCTCTACCCACAACTCTCGCAAATATGAGTAGTGAAAAAATGTTGACCCAGGACTAATAACCCCGTCCCACTACTACGGGGGGTGTTCCCTCCAAAAGTGATGAATCCCCACTAAAAGGGGACACCCCCTATTAATCAACCAGGAGTTTATTCATGCGGGGTTAACATAAATCGAGTATGGGGAGGAGAGCGAAGGAAACGGACTCTCTTGCCTTGGCCTCTTCTCCCGCCCGCACTGGCAGCCTTCCAATTGTGGATTCCAGGGGTTACCAGAAACATTTACCAGGGAAAGGCCCCTGGTGCGGCATTTTTCGCCGACTTTAAGAGGAATGCCGGGAGAAAGGTCACCATGGATGTGTCTTGTTTGAGGCTGCCCCATGTTTTGTGGTCCCAGGGGTCCCCCCCCCCCTGCCTCGTGTTTTTCGCCGGCCCTCAACTCACCCCGCAGGCCGGTGTTCCAAACGAGCGACGGGAAGGCGATGGTCAGCGGCTAAGACTGGCCTTTCCAAGCGCCTGGACCCGAGGGATTGACCACATCGCCTCCATCAAAGAGAGGCAACTCTCTCGCGAACCCATCGCGTCATTAGGCCAGGGCCGGGGGGGCTGGGGGCTTGGGCTGGGGGCGCTATAGATCGTCCTTAGGCCAGGGCCGGGGGGGTTGGGGACTTGGGGGCTTGGGCTGGGGGGGGGGCATAGATCGTCCTTAGGCCAGGGCCGGGGGCTTGGGCTGGTGGGGGGGGCTTTAGATCGTCAGCCTCAGAGCCTCCGACAGGTGCGGGGGCGGGGCGCACCGAGCGTGACTCGGAGCTGGAGCGGCTGAGGCTCCGGCGCGAGTCTCATTGCTCGGGTTCCACGCCGTCGGCAGAAACAGAAGCGCGTGGACAGAACAGAATCAATGTTGGATTTTTGGTGCGGACATGGACCGGCCAGTTCGCCCCAATCCGATCGGGACCTGCAGTCCATGCTCACGGTCTCGGCTCAGCCCGGAAAATGAGTTGGGATTCGGTCATTCGTGACTCACTCCCGTTCCTTTCTCTCCCTCATTCTCTTCTCTTAGCCAGCTCTTGCCTACCTGTCTTCATCTTGGATTCAATGGCGAATGATAATGTTGGCCCAGGATTAATAAACCCGTCCCATTATTGGGGCGGTGTTCCCTCCAAAATGTCTGAATCCCCACTAAAAGTAATTGGACACCCCCATCTCTCAAATCCCGGGGGTTCTGCTTAATCCGGGGTTAACACTAAAGGCAAAGGACGATGGGTTTTGATGCGCAAATTTGGCCTGCAGAGCTCCTGGGCATTGAGTGCGATGAAATTCCGCCATCACACGTGTGGAAATCGTCGGCTCTTTGAAGGGGTTGGCCACGGGGCTCAAAGCGTCACAGGAGCTGGGTTTGAGCCATTCCTGAGGTGCGAAGAGTTGGAGGAGGATCGCAGTTGAAAGCCATGGGCAAGAAGGGATTTACGAGATGAGTGGAAAGGCAGAGTGCAATGGCCTGAGAGTACCGGCTTAGGGCAAGGGGGCCTTCAAAATTGAGATGGACAGGAGCGAATGCACTTGGCCGAGCAGCTTGAACGCACCGTGGCTGCATTAGAGCTGTGAATTGATATGAATGTGCCGTCGCTTCCCGGAATATCGCAAAATGGAGAGCCGGGGTTTTCTTTAAGATGCCAGATCCTTTTTGTAGTGTAGTGGCAACTGTTGGACCCGCTGTACGAGGTTTGAATAAGAAAGTCAAACCATTCAGCAGAAGGAGCGGGCTTAAAGAGGTCCGAACTAGTGTTTTGCGATGGCAGCCATGCTTGGGTATGAACAGTTTCGGCACAAGCCCCACGCATATGCTTCCAGATTGAAAGCATCCTGAGTTTGGAGCCGGGCTTCTTCCAAAAATAATTCCTCATTTGCATGTGGGTGTTCTCTTGGACTGTCATGACTCATGACTATCATTATATCCGAGTCTCCGCATATCCGCGCAGTAGACTATGACGCTCCTTCCATTTGCCGAAAATAATGTTTCTTTTTTTCCCTGTTGGTTTTAAAGGGAACCTATCACTACTGGACATAGTTTTTTGTTCCCAGGGGTCTTAACCAATTGCAAGGCTCCAGGGGCCATGCGTTTGCCACTTGAAACACCAAGGTGGCCACAGCCATACCGCAAGCGAAAGCCAGGAGCCTAAGTGAGCTTGAAGTTGGGTTGTTAAGACCCAAGGGGCTCATTTTTCTTGTTTATTATGTTATTATTCTGCTTGTTCTGATTGTTTGTGTTCTTCATTTATTATTATCCTTCTTTAGTCTGTTTCCCTTGTTCTTCTATTTGCTCTTCTTGTTATTATTCTTATCATTCTTTATTATTTCTTCTTATGGTTGCTGTTCTTCTTTTTTCGTTCTTATTATGTGTGTTCTTCCTTTTTCTCATTCTTACTGTTATTGCTTCTTCTTATTTGTTATTTTTTCTTTTTCTGTTTGTTCTTCGTCTTCTTTTGAGTCTTGTGTGTGTGTTCTTCTTTCTTCTTTATTCTTTCTTATTATGTTTGTTCCTATTCCCCCGTGTTTATTATTATCTATTATTCTCCTTCTGTGGGTTCTTCCTTCTTCTTCTGTTTGTTCTTCTTTTTTCTGATTATTATCCTTCTTTCTTCGTTTTTTTTTGACGCTTTCTTATTATGCTTGTTCTTCTTTGTTTCTTCCTTTTCCTATTATTGTGTGTTCTTCTCATTCGTTATTAGTTATTCTTTCTTCTTTCTTTTTCTGGTTGTTCTTATTTGTTCATTTTTGCTGGTTCTTCTTCTTATTTTGTTGTTTTGGTTCTTTCCTTCTTTCTTCATTTATCTTCTCATTTTGATTATTCTCTCGAATTGTCCCTCTTTCGTTGTTCTTCTGTGTGTAATTAATTATGCTCTTTGTTTCTTGCTTTTGCTTATTTTTAACTTTGTGTTCTTATTGTGTCTCATTGGTATTCTTCTTATTATTCTTTCTTTTTCACCTTCTTTCTTTCTTCTTGTGGTTGTTCTGCTTCTTCTTTACGTTTCTTCTTTTTCATTCGTTTGTTTTTCTCCTTTGTTTCCTTGTTTTTCTTCGTCTAAATATTACTTGCAGTCATTATATTGTTTTTATGTTGTTGTTTGTTCTTCTTTCTTTTTGTTGTTCTTCTTCTTCTGCTTCTCTCTTCTTCTGCTGCTGGTTATTCTTCTTCTGCTTCTTTTAGTTCATGGAATGCATGGAGCCATTTGGGTTGGTGTTTTCTGAGTTTCGTTTGTTCTCTTTCTTTTTGGCCGGCAATGGAACCATGTTTGAACCGGCCGAGCAAAAGGCCGTGCCAATGGGTCAAAACGAGGTTGCAGGAACCGACGACCGCATTTCGGGCCTTTCAAAGGGACACCTCTGATTTTTTTTGGCAGCTCCCAGCCATCCGGTTCCTGAGCTTTTTAGCCGTTTAGTTGGTTTAGTGGTTGGGTTTCCGAAGTTGGCCCACTTAAAGATATTCACTTAGCGGAAACATCACAACGGAGAGCCCAGTTTTGGGTGACGTGCCACGCTTTTGAGGCTCGCCCAGGGCTGAAGACCTCCTGGCAAGGCCTCATTTTCGCGTATCCGGTCGAACCCCCATGGGCTCAAGTTGGGAGAGCCACCCGGACTGCCGGGGGTTCCCTTGATTTGCCCCTGAAACCACAGCTGCAAAAAGGGAAAAACTAGAAACTGACGCCCCAAAATTTATTGCAGGTGGCAAAGCCCTGAACTCTGGCAGTGTGGCTACTCGCACGTTTATTGTGAGAGCCGGAGCTTGAGCAGTCTGAGCGTGAGGCCCACTTCAGGGTAGGTTCAGCAGCTCCCTTCTGGATTCGTCCATTTGGCACTGGACATGTGGAGGAGCGTTGTGTTTGTTTGTATTTGAAGGTATCCATTTGTCCATTTGTGGGATGTTGCGAAGGGAATCAGAGAGACACCAGCCACAAAAAGAGAGACTCCCCCATTTGGCTGACGGATTCGACGGAGAGTTCGAATCAGACCCGCTCAGATGTGAGCGCTTGGAAGCAGAGAAGGAGAAGCTGCAAAAGCACGTTGAGAGGTGGGCCATGCGTGAGTCAGGGTTCCACTTTTTGACTACCCCAAGGTAGACTTAAACCCAAAAGTTTCTCTTTAAACGGGGAATTCACCCACCACGGTTAAGTCTACCTTGGCGCAGTCAAAAAGTGGAACCCTCCAGTCGGAGTCGTCAGCAGCATGCGACGTCCAAGTGATGGGCGGTGGCGTCAACTTTCCCATGGGGTCTCTGGTCACTTGAAGAAAAGCGCCTTGCAGGTTGTGGCAGATGTGCCAACGGGAGCAGGGCCATCAGGCAGGGCTCGGAAAATGTGTCATTGGTGATTCTCTCCGGCGGGAAAACTTGTCACTTGCAAGTTGGTTGCAGCTCAAATCTGAAAGCTCCGCTATGCTTGGCCGCAACAAGAAAAATGCCGTGAGGCGCCTTATTAGGGGGCTTGCACCTGGGGGGGGGGTGGTCCTATGAAAACCGCCCGGTCTGTCAATTGAGGCGCATGATGTTATTCTTGTTCAAGCGCAATCATGCCTGTTCTCTTTATGTTACGGTGGCATTTTGCATGTCGCGCCTTGAAAATTCTCACTTGTCCAAAGCAAATCGACCTTTTCACCTGTTGTTTTCTCCTTTTTGGTCCATAGTCTCACCAAAAGCTTCACCCTTTTATCTTCCTGGTAAGATAGGTAGGGAATGAGAAATGGAATGACCCTAAGATCTTCGGGACATTTCTGGGTTCCATCCATTTCTCCTTCCCTACCTGACAGAATGAGCCTTATAAACCATCCACAAGGTGGAGTTTTTGGGTTTATTCCATGTCTCATTCCACAGGGGTCCTTATGTTTCCCGTTTTGGCGGTTTTAAACATCACCTTCTCCGCCCATGCAAGGTGGGTGTTTTTTGGGGGTGATGTTTTAAGGGGAAATCGCTGGACGAGCCCTGTTTATTCCATGTCCCCTGAGAGAATGACCCTAGTTCAACTGGATGTTCCATGTCTTATTCCTTGGCCCATGAAAGGTGAGTGTTTTTTGGTGGGGGTGATGTTGGGTCCCTTGGTGTCCCTTGGTGGTGGGTGGTGGGGGTGGTGGAGCCCTGCTCCGTTTCTACCGGCGCTCGCGATCCGCGAAGATTTCCCAACGTCCGATCCGCCAGGGGCGCCAAGCCAGTGAAGGCGAGCTCACCTTCGAGGCGACATGACGGAAAGCGGATGGCCGGATGTCCGGAGACGCGTGAGGTCGAAAATGGGTGACTCGTCTTAGGCCCCCCAAAACGATGTGTGTGTTTTGTTGTTTGTTTTTTAATTGTTTTTTTAATTGTGTTTTGCAGGGGGGAGAGATGGGGCCTTGTTTTGTTTTGGGGGAGTGGGGGGCGTGGGGTGGGGTGGGGTGGGGTGGGGTGGGGTGGGGTGGGGTGGGGTGGGGTGGGGTGGGGTGGGGTGGGGTGGGGTGGGGTGGGGTGGGGTGGGGTGGGGTGGGGTGGGGTGGGGTGAGTGGGGCCAAAATGGTGCGTTCCTCGATCTTTCCCTTTTGAAGCCAAACCAAAGCCTCGAAAAAGAGAGACCTCTACTTTAGGGAATCACAGAAAACATGTTGTTTCGGTTTCCGTTTAGCTTCCCTGACCCACCACCCGCACCTTGGGCCCGAATTCCATGTTGAGAAGCCTGATGGATCTTGCGATTCAGGCGGTGGTGGCCACCGTGTCTGAGGTGACAGACGACAGGCCAGTTGGCCCCGGCTGATGTTTTGCCGTTTTGGACTGGAGGGCTACTTTTTTCGGGGAGTTTTGCCCGTTCTTTTCCTTAGGAATTGTCCACAACAGGAAAACCCAGCCATAAGACCGAACGCGATTCTCACTGAGCCCCTTCCGGTATTTGTCGATCCAACGATCATGGAATCCGGCCATCTTGGGGCACGCCTACTTTGCTTGCTGGTTCGATAGGCATGAGAAACGGAATGACCCCGAGCAAAACCATCCCCCACGGTTTCCTTTATGGTAGATTTCTGGGTTCATTCCCAACTGGGTCATGGCTATCGCACCGATGGCAAGCTTCAGAAGCACACATTTCAACTGCAAGAATTTCAAGCCAAGCAGTGAATCTTCATCAGCACAGGCTAAACCTTCAGGCAGAGAAGGCCCAACTTGAAGCGCGCCCCGGCAGCATGTTCAGGGAGCCTTGCTGGAAGCCATGAACGGCTGGCGATGTTCCAAGAACAGAAGAATACCGTTTGGCGGATTGTGCAGGGGAAGTTTGCGATCCAGACACCCCAAAGCCATTTTAGATGTGTCAATGTAAGAGTGTGATTGCTGATCAAGCGTGGGGCAACGGGGTGGGACGTTCAGGAGTTTTGCCCGGGTGGTCACTTCAAAGTTCTGTATCCATCCAAGGCAGGTGGAGGAGATCTCAAAGAAGTGTCAGATGCTGGAGGCATGGTGGTACTTTGTTGCCTGCGGCCTGTTCATCTGGATTCTTCAAAGCCAACCCCCGAAAATTCCCTTTGAGGGAAACCATCAGTTGGCTGGTTTTTATTGGTCTTGGGGCCATTCCATTTCTCATTCCCTACCTATCCCAGCCACATGTTTTGAACAGGTTCCAGACATGGCACGCCGCACTCTTCGCCAGGAGCAGCTGGCGGCAAAGTCGGACCGGGGTGTTGACAAATCGAATCAGACCCAAGAGTTGAAGACGCAAAGTTTTATGGCTGTGGAACTATAACTTACAAGGCAGCTCGACCACCAGAAGGCCCCTCAGAACAGAGCCCAGGACTCGTTCAGACTCCAAATTTGACTCGTGAGAATCCAAGTGGCCGTGGGTCAGCACCACTGGTACCATTTTGGGGTTTTCGGCGCGCCACCCATTTTAGAGTTTATTTTAGTGGGGATTGGGATGTTCACTGGGGGTACGTTTTTTTGTTGATCCATGGCAATATCGCAAGGGGGAATCTAAGAAGCAGACTCCAAGAGGCCAGCTTTCATGAATCTTTTCCGCTGAAGATGCCCAGTGGATTCCGCCCTTGGTTTTTTTCGACGCTTTTTTTGGGGAAGGGTTCCTCTTTGAACTCAACCAACCAAAAAAGGGATGCCCTTTTTTTCCAATGGCCACTGGGCATCTGAGTCTGAAGATGGCCATTGTGCCGACGCCTGGGGCAGAGCGTGTCCCGGTGTCGCGGTGTCCCTGCTGCCAGCCTCCTGCAACTTGGGCCAGTGGAAGCAGAAACTGCCAGTGTGGAGGTTGCACAAGAACTACGGGAAGTGCGGGGGGAAATTACTTTAAGCTTTAACTTTGTCATTGCTTCAGCTTTTCTAGTGGTGGCGATTGCTTTAGCTGCGCTGCACTTGCTGCGATGTACACGCCTCGCAATTGTTTGGGGAACCTCGCGAAACATGGTGCGTTCTGGAGTGGATGTGCTTGAGCCGAGCAGCATGCCGCGCGGGCCTGAATACTTGGAACAGGGTTGGGCATCATCACATCGAATGACCGCATGATCATGACATGAACACATGGCTATGGGTCACAACCAATGGTACCATTTTGGGGCAGGTGCACCACCCATTTTAGTCTATTTTAGTGGGGATTGGGATGTTCGCTGGGGGGCGATTTGGATTTTGACCCATGGCCATATCATGTAATTTGGTTGTTTGGTGGTACCCCGCAACCCCGTTCTGATGATTCTCCGTGTGAGGGGAATGTGGACCGGCCGAGAACCTTACCTTCCAACTGAGGTCCTCTAGGTCCCCAGAAGTGCCGCCTCTTGAAGTATCTAAGGGTTGATTCCCCATTCTCTTCACCCATCGTTCTCTTTAGAAACACCCATTTTCTCAGGGATTTGGCATGTTCTTTGAAGAGAAGGATCCCTGAAGAGAATGGGGAAGGTACAGCTAGAAAACAAAATGGTTTTGGAGTACTTGCCATGGACCTTTGGGAGGGTGAACTTCGCTTAAGCGGCGTGAGGATGCGAATGAGCCGGACGTGCGAAGGCAGGTCTGAAGCCTCTATGCTTTGATTAACTTTCATTTGCTGAAATGAATATGTATTACTTCCCCCTGATGGTTTTAAAGGGAGTCTACCACTAGTGGATAGATCTTTTTTTTGGGCCAGGGACTTAATCAAATGGAGGTTCATTGGCTCAGCAACGGGGGTTTGAAGGGTTGCTACTTTTGATTGGCTGAGTACGATACTTGCGAGCATCATGGTGACTGCGGGGTACCTTCGTCAATGAGAAGCAGGGCATTGTGTGAACATTCTTGGGTGGAGAATCACCATAAGATAATCAACGTAATCATATAAAGTTACGGCTTTAACCTGACACTCACAAAGGAAAGATGTTCAGCACAGTATTGGCATCTCAAGGTGAGCCCTGCATGCCCATCATTGTTCAGCTGAAGAGCCATGCTACGTTTCAACCCTTGAGCCTTTGCCACGGTCATTAATGTTGACCCAGGATTAATAAACCCGTCCCATTATTAGGGGGGTGTTCCCTCCAAAAGTGGTCTGAATCCCCACCAAAAGGGGACACCCCCCTATTAATCAGCCAGGGGTTTATTAATCCGGGGTTAACATTATCACGGCAATCGTATGCAGCAACGGGGCCAGGTGCGAGCTGCTTGAACGAGAGAAGGCCGAAGTAGAGAAGGACGCCCGCCTGTGTGCTTTTGCGTGCTTTTGTGTGCCTGTGTTGTGGCTCCTGTGCGTTGCTTGCTAAGTTGTGTGTGTGTGTGTAGAGTTTGGTGTGTGCGCGCATTGTGTGTCCACATGCTTAGTGTGTGCGCGTGTTGTATGTGTTTGTGTTTAGTGTGTATGTGTGTGTGTGTGTGTGCGTGTTGTTTGGGCATGCAGCTAGCCGTCTAGGTCCCAAAACTGGGGCAGCTCCTCAACTTCAATGTGAGGCTTCCCAAAATCTCAACCCTTCCAATTTTCTGCTTGCCAGGTTTGACGGGTGACGGGTCGACGTTTTAGAACCCCGGATCCGTTCTCTTCTGACCGACTTATGTGATAACTTAGGGGATGATTCAAGGTTCCAAAACTAGGTCCCCGAGTAGTGCCCTTCTCTCCCCTTTTTTGGTTGGGAGGGTTCCCCTACTAAAATAGACCACAGGAAAAAAAAGGTGGGTACCCATGGGTACCCTTATTCTAACCTCTCTACTGGAGGACCTAGAAAAGGATCCTCCCAGCACCCCTGGGCTGAGCCAGCAAGCTCCTCACGCGAGCATTTGCTCCAGTGTTTGCCGAAAAGGAACTGGGCGAGCTCGCTGCAGCTCACGCAGAGCTGCAGGCGGGATATGATCCATGGTCAAATCTCTAGGTTGACCATAGCACATCACCCATAGGTGTCCTTTAGGTTTGGCGATTCCTGCTTTAGGAAGTGGATGTACGTGCGCCGACCGTATCTGAGGCGGTTCGCGATGAAACAAGTAGCCAGGTAAGGCAGCATTCGTAATTTGAGAGATTTCTCAGCTGCATTTCCGGCCTTCTTTGCAGGGAACATTATTTTCAGACAAGTGGGGCTCGTTCTTGTCAACCAACACCCGTGCAACCTAGTTTCATCGCTCCCCCTATGATTCAATCCCTGGACCCCGCCTATTGGTTTTTCTTGGGGGGGGGGGGCATATTTATTCATAGGGAGGGAAATGTCCAGCTGGTTACTGGACTTGTAGAAATGCAACTTTGGATTTGAATTGCAGACTATTTGTGATACAAATATGGTTGTTACTTCAAGTTCGTGTGTTTTCATGATTTTAGTGGGTAGCAGTTGAACAAAAGAAATGCTGAAGGTCCCCTAATAAGGGCGGTTTGAAGTTTAGTATTGGTTTAGTATTGGTTCAATTGAAAGTAAAGCTGGAGTGCTTTTTTTTGGATATTTTTGCCTGAAACCATTTGTGATGCTAGTGGTTGATTTTTGATAGGAAAGGGATTGCTCAGTCTGTCAGTCAAGAGACTCACTACAGGGCAGGTTGGTCCACCAGCAGCTCGCCGAACCACAGGCGTGGCTGTTAGCAATCTCGTTGGTGCTCAGCAGGGAATGAGAAATGGAATGCCTCCGGAGAAAAAACACCTCGATCCAAGTAATTTCCTTGGGGGGAATCCGATCCAAAACCTGTTTTCATTCCCCACCGAGTCATTCCCTACCTGTCGCACCGATCGCAAGTTTATCCAGTTGTTCTGCTGGGTATGTCGCACTCCTAGCCCGAGCCGTCCGGCAGGTAGCTGCCAGGCGGGGCAGCTTCCACATGCGCTGCCTGTCGCGCCATGGCCCATGGGCGCCAAACGAGCCCTGGAAAACAGAATCCTAAAGAGAGGGCTGATGAATTTGTTCTCTCTCCCCCCCCCCAAAAAAAAAAAAAACACTTTGTTGGATCCCATCCAAATATGTTGTTTTTCTTGCTTTTTTCTTCTCGGATTTATGGTTTATATCTTCGAATTTATTGTTTGTTGGATCCCAGCAAAAGATGTTTGGCTTCATGCGCTAAAAGGGTTACGCCCAAGGGTGGCCCTGGGCATGAAATCCACGGCTTCTCGTTTTTTTCTGGGTGCTTCCAGGCCGGAGGAGAAGGCCGGCGACGGCCTGGAAGAGGAGAGGGCAACAGATATGGTGACTCGGTGGCTGGAGAGAAGCGTAGACTCAGTTGTTCAAAGCGAATCGACCTTTTGACCTTTTGGTTTCTCCTTTTTGGTCTAGTTTTAGTCATGAACCCAAAAGGTTAACCTTCTATTTCTGGGTCCTTTGGGCAAGTGAGTAGAGACCATAGCAACCAGGAGGTCCGTTGTTGAGCCACAATCAAAACCGATTCGGGTAGATGAAGGTTAGCAAGGGGCAGTCCCAGTCGGAAATAGTTGCGGATATCCGCCTTTCTAATTCCTTACATGGTTCTGGGTTCACCATTTTTGTACCAGGTTTTGATTGTGACTAAGTTGTTGTTGTGTATTCTGGTCTCACCTCTTGTTTCGGGGAAAGAGCGGCAGATCACATCTGATCATAAGTATTCTTTTTGGTTGGTGTGGTGGAAAAATAGGTTTGGCGGTTTCTGGTTTACCTGGTGGTTCAATCATCTACCAGGGCCATCCATTTACGAAAAAACACACCTATGGTAGAAAACAGACATGCGAAGCGAGCACAGGCAAGCAAGCTTGGAAAGCCGGCAAGCAGGCGGAAGCAGGCGGACAGGCCAGCTGGCAAGCAAACAGCTCGTGAGCCAACCAGCAACTAAACAATACCAGACACACACACACACACACACACGCACACAAACAAAACGCAGGCGACACACACACACAACCAACCAAGCAAGCAACCAAAGGAAGGAAAACGAGCCAACTAACCAACCAACAAGCAAACACACAAACGAGCAAACAAGCAAGCAGACAAGCAAACAAACAAACAAACAACAAACAAGCAAACAAACGTATGCCACAGCCACACATGGACATGGAAGCTTTTCTAGATGCAGCTTCCATTCCAAGTCTTTAAGATATGTGCCTTGCACCGCCTTGCACGGCCCTCTCTCACACATTACTTCTCTCGGCCCCGTGCCCACTTCCACTGCCATCCGTGTTCCCTGGCCATTTTCAAGTGGAAATGCCGCAGGAGCTTGGCGCGCTGCAAGCGAGGCGATGCTGTCCAGGGGGTCGCTGGTCGTTGGACTTCCCCAAGTCAAAAGTTGGTCGATTTACTGGTGGCGTCCATTGAAACGATCGCCCAAAGTGGGGAGGAGCCACCGAAAAAACAAGGAGGAACCCCTGTCCCGCTAGGCACTTCCCCCTCCTGCAAGCGATTTGTTCAACCTGGGAGCGCAAATCAAGGGCAGTTTCAGGAATGGTATGGGTTTTGCAGGTATGGAGGTTGTATGCCACTTGTATTAGGACTAGGGGCTCTAGGGGAACATACTGCCCTACAAGTGTATATGAGTGGTTTGTACGCATCCATACCTCCAACACCCATCCCTGAGATTGCCCTTGAGCAAAGGTTCAACGGGCATAGCGCCAACGTCAGGAATGAAGCGCTGGAAGCCGAGAAGTGCTCTCAGGAGGAGGCAGCGCCTGTTTGGGCAACGCATTGGCTGTGCAAATTTCTACGGGTTGATATTCACAGTTCTCGTCACCCCTCGTGCTCCTTCTCAGTTGCCCAAACGACCTTTTGACCTTTTGGTTTTCCCATTTTGGTCCATTTTTAGTAGAGGTGCCATAAGGTAAACCTGGAATTTCGGGTCCTTTGGGCAAGTGAGTTTTGGAAACCACCAACTTTTCAGGGATTTGGCCCGTTGTTTGAGAAGGATCCCTGTCTAGATAGTTGAGGAGGCACTATGTAACTTGCCCGAATGGAAGGCAAACCGCCAAACATCCGACTCCCAAAGGATGCGCCGTGCCAGGAGTTGGAGGAGCTGACTCGGTTGTACGGAGAGCTGCAGGCGCACTCCGATCTCTTCCAAAAATCTGCCGAACAGTGCATCTTGGTTTGCGCCATGTTTTTTCAAACAGGGAAATCTTTGGTGGACTGACAAAGTGAGTGGAGTGCGCCCAAGCTCTTCACATTCAAAGCCCGGCAAAGTGGATCCGAGCCTTGAGACAGGCCCATTGGCTCAAAGTGCTCAGAGGGAAGAGAGACGCCCGCTTGTTCTCAGCTCAGCTGGGGCACAATCGCCAGCATTCGGTGCGGCCGCCTTGGTAGTTCTTTTGTTTGGGTCAGGTTTTGATTGTGACTCAGCTGAGCCCTCTCAACTCAGCATCGCTCATGGGATACCGGGCTCCCTCGCTATCGGCGCATGGCGAAGCTGCAGTGGTCATCGGCCTCTCTGGGGCCACTCGGTGCGGCAAGTCTAGGCTCGCTCAGATGCTTGCAGAGGAGCCTTGGGCTTGCAAATCGCTGAAAGGTGCCGTGGTCATCCACCAGGATAGCAGCTGGCGGCGCTGTGTCCAAGTTCAGCTCCCGGATGGCACGGAGCGAAAGAGCCAGGACGATCCCTCTTGCACCGACAATGAGAAATTTGTTCGCGAGATTCGCGAAGCCCGCAGCCGTGCCTGCGCGGTCATTGTTGAGGGCTTTCAGCTGGTTCACTCGGCAGAGGTGCGCGAGCTGCTGACGCACATCTTTCACATCGACCTGACCAAGGAGGAGTGCCACAAACGCCGAACCGGCCGATACCATGAGCAGCTCAACCCAAACCCGGTGAGCGCGGAAGAATTCGAGAAGCTGATATGGCCTGCGCACGAGCGGTACATGGCGGAGAGCATAAGCCCGCTGGGCGATGCTGTGCTGCGCCTAGGGCCACTTCTCAAAGACGAGGACTATAAGGAGGCCGTGAAGCATGTGCAACAAGTGGCTTTGGCTCCGGTGCTGGTCATCGGTCTCTCTGGGGCCACTCGGAGTGGCAAGTCTAGGCTTGCTCAGATGCTTGCAAAGGAGCCATGGGCTCGCGCATCGAAGGTCATCGGCCAGGACGAGTACTGGAAGGGAAAGGTCCAGGTCAAGCTGCCGGATGGCACGGAGCGAAAGAGCCAGGACGATCCCTCTTGCACCGACAACCAAAAGTTTGCTTGCAAGATTCGCGAAACCCGCAGCCGTGCAGCCCTGAACCGTACGCCTGCCCGTTCTGATCCCAGCATTGTGATTGTTGAGGGCTTTCAGCTGGTTCACTCGGCAGAAGTGCGCGCGCTGCTGACGCACATTTTTCACATCGACCTGGCCAAAGAGGAGTGCCACAAACGCCGAACCGGCCGATACCATGAGCAGCTCAACCCAAGCGCGGTGAGTGTGGAAGAATTCGAGAAGCTGATATGGCCTGCGCACGAGCAGTACATGGCAGAGAGCATAAGCCCGCTGGGCGATGCTGTGCTGCGCCTAGGGCCACTTCTCGAAGACAAGGACTATATCGAGGCCTTGAGGCATGTCAAGTCAACGCTTTTGTGCCCGCGCTTGCCATTCATGGATTGAAGACGGACATAAAAGAAGGTCGTTGTGTTGTGCAAATCTGCATGTAAATGATGTCCACCAAACAGCCCATTGCAATCCTCAAATGCAGGTTAGAAGCTCAGCTTAGGGCATTTGGTTGCCTCCAAAGCCCTTCCAGCTGGGAAGCAGTTGCATACATTTTTTGCATGCTTCAAAGCCGGCTAGTTCTTTAGCGCTGCAATAAGTCTCCAACGGCGAATGTTCGCGATGAATGCTTGGCGTGCTTGGCCTGCTAAACAAACTCTGAGTGCAAAAGTGGGTGTGTACTTTTGTTGAGGGAACCCCTTTTGGTTTGTTTTGAGGGAAAACCAAAAGGCAAACCACCATTCTGAGGCTGCCCTAATTTCCCTAATTTTAGGACAACGCCAGTCAGTTGCACATCAGGAAAAAACAACGTGCGCCAGGCCTCCTTGCAAGAAGAGACCTCGCTGAGAGCAAGAGCAGAGGCTAGTGTCTAACGCGTGAGTTGCAGCTTGTGCCTTTCAAAGACATGGGTGACCTCATGGGTGGCTCAAAATTACACGGCTGGGGTTACGCAGATTTTAGTCTACCTTTCTATTTACCAGGCTTCCATTTTGGACCCCCATTTTTGAGCCACACCCACATTTGTGCCCGAAGCTTGCTGTTTAGCGGAAAGTCTCAAGCGAGGCAAGGCCCCGTGCACAGCGCAGCATGAATAATAGGGAACGCCCTGAAAATAGGTTGGTGGACATTCGAATCCCTTGGATGTGTCCACCAAAGTGTCCAACTAAAGAGCAATGAATGGGCTCGATGCTGCCAGCATCGGGAACTCTGTTGCGCTTCCCCACCTTTCCCTCTTTCCCCTGCATGGGAACAGGGAGATCAACATACGACATATGTGCCATGGCCAAAAGACCGGTTCCTTTACTTGAAGTTAACAGGGATGGTCATCCACCTGGTAGTAAGGATCCTTACATGGTTGTCGTTGGGAAACATTTTACATTTTTGCTTGTTGTGGTTTAGTAGGGAATCCCCACTTAACTGCTAGAAATTGAAGTTTTGGCTCCCCTTCCAACCTCAACCAAGTTAACTTAATCACCCTTTTAATTCTTCGTGTTTCGGGAGCCATGACCCGATCGGCCATAGGAGTTTCTGACCATGGCTCATATGGTGCCCCATGCGCAACTCGGCCAGGAGCAGCTCGAGGCTCCCAAGACGAACAGTTCGCATCCGGCAGATTCGAAGATGTTGGGGGGGTATTCATCACGCTCCTGTGTGCAGGGATTCGGTGTTGGAGCAACGTTCATTTGTTGGACTCTTCAGTTAAAAGTTAGGGGAATTGCGAACTCAAGCCCCTTGAGTTGCGAGTTGCCGACTTGTGGTCTTCCCTTCTGACTTGGTTTCCCACTACACCAAAGTATGGGTGTGTCTCTTTTTAGACGCCCCCAAACAAACAATGGTGATGTTCCTTTTGGTTTAATTTGGTTTCCCTTTAAAACCACAAACGATCAGGACTACCCTCCACAAAAGACACGTCACGGCGGCCCCTTTCATGGATAGTGGGCCAAGACTTTGTTCAGGGAGCGCAGTGTGACCCCCATGTTGGCTTCGACCGGTGGGAGGCACAATGAGGTCGGGCTATCGCTTGTGTCGGAAGTTGGCGCGCTCATTTTTTTCCCCGACTTTGGCTCTCTTACGCTTGGCCTCAAAGATGAAGAGCCACCAGACTGTGGCACAGACGAGAACACGAGAACACGAGGATTGCCAAAAGTGGGGCAAGACGACAACTTGAATACCCGGGGTCTATACATCTGTCTATTTTCTTGCGAGCTCACCTGGGGCGTAACGAGCTCACCACGATAAAGGTGCCTTACTTGGGCATCTCTTAAATCTGTTTTTGGAATTCTAGTCAAAATATGCAGCTAGTTGTAGGTTGTGCTGCCTTTCCAGACCATCAACACCCAGCCTGAGTCTGCTTCGGGAGGGGTTGCTATCGCAGATACATGTGATAACCCCATATTAATCAACCCCTGTTTATTAATAGGGGGGGCTCCCTGGGTTTAGTGGGGAATTGTCCTTTTTGGAGGGGAACATCCCCCACCCCGCTTTTTAAACTGGAAGTTGATTAATATGGAGTCAACATTACATGCCACAAACCTGCCACCAGCTTTTGGGATGTTCGGAGCTGCTTAGCCGGGCTTTCCGCGTGAGGCGTGCGCCGAGCGGCCGGAAGTCGCGAGGCGCCTGTTGCGCGTCTGCCTTGGGAGTGTGTGCCATCCGCTCCGAACCCGAGAAGGCAAAAGTTGCTCTCGAAGTGCTCAAGCCTTGCTGGAAACAGTTGGAGGGTCACCGCCGCAACCTACTAGGAGAGAGAGAGAGAGATAGAGAGAGAGAGAGAGAAAAACACTTGGACTCAGTTGCCCAAAGCCGACCTTTTAACCTTTTGGTTTCCAATTTTGGTCTATCTGTAGTAAAGGCCCCAAAAGGTTAACCTTTTAGTTCCAGGTCCTTCTCGCCTTTCTTAAGCTGAAGTGTGCTGCGCTTTTGCGAGTTTGTCGTTAAGGAGTCAAGGAGTAGGGATGAGTTGCTGGCCAAAGGTGCCAGGTGAGAGAAGGGACTCTATTCTAGTGTTCGCGCAATGCAGATGCAAGCTGGCCAGATTTTTGTCCATGTCCCTGCAGGCAAAGTGAGACTCCAGTGCAGGAGGAGAAATCGCTCATGCATGCCACATCTGCAGAGGTCCAGCCCTGGCACACCGTTGGGTCCACAGGTTTCACAGCCTCATGTGGTCAGGCAAGCACTGGCTCAGCAGAAGAGCTTCCAGCTGGCCTATGGCCAAACTGATCCCAACTGCGGCCCTTGGTGTGCCATTCCAATCTTTGAGCTGCAGGAGCTGCCGGCCGAGAGGCACCACCACGGAAGGGAGTTGAGTCGCTTTGTTGTTGTTTTTTGGCGCTGCATCAGCCCCGAGCCCGGTTTTGTGTCGGGCTTTTTGAAACTCTCAGTTGTTCAAAGCGAATCGACCTTTTGACCTTTTGGTTCTCCTTTTTGGTCTAGTTTTAGTCATGAGCCCAAAAGGTTAACCTTGTATTTCTGGGTCCTTTGGGCAAGTGAGAACTCGATGTGCCTGGATCCCGTCCTGCGAAAGGGTGAGGTGTCCTTGCCGTAGCCGTGCTTTCGGCAGGCTCGATGAGGCTGGACCTGATCCGTGCAATCGCTCAGATTGGCATTCCGCGTTTTGCCAGGCAGTAGTCTTACGGGAAGTGACGCTGAACGCTGTGGGAGAAAGTTGGGGTTTCCGGCCATTAGCATCCTTTAAATGTCCCGTATGAAATGGGTGTGGTTGACCTCCCTACGGATGATCCAGCTATGTGAACCCGAATATCTATATATATATGTATATATATATATAATATACACCTTGAACATGAAGTCAAGTGGCTTGAACAGCCCTCCTTGGAGCGCGGTCTTGGCTCTAGTGTCGGGGAGAGCCATGGCTGCCAACTTGACGTGCAGGCGCCTCTGCGTAATGGGAATGTGGGTGTGCGTGTTTGTTGAGGGTGCTATTTGTGGCTTGGGCGTAAAGTGAAGCCAGAACGAAGCTGTTGCGGGGGTATTGCCTCAGTTTAAGAATTGTTCCGCTGCAAAAGGCCGGCGGATACACCAAAACAGTGATGTTTAGGACTCACATCAGCAGTACCTCGTATGCTCCCCTTGACAAGTTTGTTGATTGCGCTTAGGGTGTTGAGCAACATCAAATGCTGTTTGTTTGCCCAGATAATAAAAGGCCGCCTGGATTGCACTTGCTTTTGCCATGTGCGATTCATAGCTGACCTCGCTCGCATGCCGTGCTTGTTGCCTGTCGCCCTTTTTGAGCAGACGTTCGAAAAAGCGGTTCCCATTTCTCATGCCAAGAAGCATGGCGTGACCTGGTGATTTGGCTGAAAACGGGTGCACTCAGGCCCGAGGTTTGCGCCATCTTTTCGCGAGGGCAAAGAAGTGGCAAAGATTTGGCCATGCCTTGGGCCATGCCGGAAGGTCGCGCTTTAGAATTCCTGGACCGTTTGGCCAGGTGCTGCATTTTCATTTGGAAGATGGGAAGGAGTCACCAAGATTTGCCCATTTTCATTTGGAATATGGGAACGAGTCACCCAAGAATTGCCCTGGACTCATTAGAAGGATCGGGGCACGTAAGGAACACCTTCTTCGACATTCCGGACGTGCGCGAAGTCCCGGAGGGACCTGCTACTTGCCCACCTGCCAGCGATGGATGGTGGTCACGCAAAGCTGCGCCTGGACAGAAATAGGACCTCAGCATCCAACAGACTGGGCTGAAGCCGAAAGGATGCCAAATCCGGCCAAAAAGGATCCAAAGGAAGCACCAAATGCAGGCAGGTCATGGTACAGATGGTGGCTTGCCAGTCCAACCCGCATGCTAGAGTTGTTTGATTTCACGTGTGTGGACCAGAAATCCCTCCATTTCGAGAGCAACTCAGGCAACGCGCCCAAAAATTTCATGTGACCGCTCAAGTCTCAGCTGAAACCCTGCGGCTTGACCATTACACACGCTGAGCAATGACCTTTGCTTGGCTGTAAGGATCCTGCGTTGGAAAGGCAACATCTCACTAAAAACGCGACAGCCTAGCCTGGCCGTGCACAGTGAGCTCCTCCTTTACAAAACGTTCGTGCCAGGCAGGTGCTTGAGTGACACAACAACAAAGCGCTACCGGGCGTGCCAAGTTAATCATACTCAAATGGCATTCAAGAAATGCGGGGCTGCGAGATGAGGCCAGCACTCATGTGTTGCGCTCTTTGCTTGAATGACTTGCGTTCAATGTTGTTGTCGTGTTTCACTGCTATGGATTAGCTGGACGGTTTGGATTGGTCTGTGACTTGCTAGTGGTACGCTTCATCGTAACATGCGTGTATTGTTTTCTCATGCTCATTGGCCCCCCAGGTCGCCAGACGCCTTTTTTCACATTTGGTTTTTCCTCGCGACTGAGGAAGTGGAGTCAGTGTCTACAAGGGA